ATCTTTCTTGATCAGATCCAGCATTCCTGCCGGCAGAATTGGCTCTTTATTATCATTCAACACATACCTAAATGGCATCTCTGTTGCCTCATGCTTGCTGAACCGAATTTCTGGATAATCAATGAATTGGATGCTTTCAAATGGAGTACCCTCCAGAATCATCTTTGTGGTGCGCACAGCAGTGTCGGTCGTCATTTGTAAATTGCCTAAGCGTCTCGTCTCGCATTCCAGCTTCTTCTTCAGCTCAGAGGTTCTGTCTCGAGGTGGGTGATCACCGAGGATGCCTCCAAAAATAAAAAAATCAAAGCTCTCTTTGTCAGTAGGTTGCAAGTCAATCTCTGCACGTGGGTCCAGAAGACATAATCTAGAACCAAAAGAATCAACATACTCGTTGACCTCTTTAGTGGTCCATACAAGTCCTAATTCTCTCAAAGGTTGTGGAATATCTTGGTCTGAGGTGCCATCTGGAAGTGACGTCAAAATGAGATTGTCCTTTCCTATATCACGAATAATCTGACAGTACTCTAGAATCACCCATTCAGTGAATCCCTGTTCCATATGCTCGATTATGTACTTCATGCTTCAGCAATGTCAAAAGTATTGCCTCGAACTTTTCAAAAAAAAAACAGAAAAAAGACGCGTCGATAGACCTTTGTCGGAGATGCTCGTTATCTTTCACGCTCAGGCGAAGGCGTTGCATATGAACGCAACGCATATTTTCAGCCTTGCCAGAAATTTGGAGCCTCGCGAATTCTCCGCGAAATTCTTAAAAACCCTCGTACTCGTAATCGCAAAGCTTGTTCGCCGAAATCCGATTACCGAGATGATGCCGTGAGCATTTTCTAGTTCCGAAAGGCGTTTTTTAGGGTACTTCTATATGGGGCTTAGCTAATGTCTCCGAAGCCGCACTGGGCTCTAGAATAAAACCGTTTGAAATTTAAACCTTGTCTTTCCCTCATCCCAGATTACACTTTTTATCATGGGCTATCCAAACGTTGTAGGTGGTGTTTCCAGGAAGGTTTGCTCGGGAATCTACATACACTCGTGCCGTTTCTTAAGGGCAGGCTACTTTGAAATTGGCGGCCGTATGGCAGTGATCTCTAGTCCGCAATCGTTTATTGTTTGGTCTGCAATTCCATACGATAAGAAAACTATTGATTCTTTGGACAGAACAATGGTGGAAGGGGGAGATCTTAAAGCTGGTGAGTCGTTTATCCAGAAGGTGTCGCACTTAATTATCCCAGACGGCGAACATACGATGGCTGTTCAAAGCTGGAAAGCCAAGTTCCCGAACATCAGAATAGTGGGATTTGAAGGCCTCAAGCCTGAGATTGCCAAAGTGGCCGATATTGTGATTCCAGAAAGCGCCGCTTGGAAAATTTTAAGCACTAACGATTTGAGTTCGTTTGGTTTCGACGAGACAAAAGATGTGGCACTGGCAGATGCCAGATTGCAATTTATGTTCTGGCCAAAAGTCGCAAACAAGGAACTCCTTGTGTTCAGCGAGCCTCATAAAGCAGTCTTCGCCGCTGATGTGATTTTCAATCTCCAACATAATAACAGAAGAATCCCGGAGTCGGATCTTTATAATGAACAATTCGAGGGCAAGGAGCCATTCCATCTAATACAAAGGCTCTTTTTCAAAAATGCTTTCAGTTTTGGAACGGGTTTTAACAAATTTCTTGTTAAACGAATGGTTGCTGACCCTGTTAGCTTTTCTCCTGCTTTCAAAGAGCTGCTCGCCAGATGGGATCCCGCCAAAATAATCCTTTGTCATGGCGATGTGATTGAGCGTGACGGGTCAGCCGTCTTTAAGAAAACCTTTGGTCACATTGTCAGAGATTAGTAGGTGTGTAGTCAGAATCATATGTGATCATCTAGTAATATGAATGATTGTCTCCACATCGAGGCTGTGCAAAATTTGGTTTTATCATTTGAGGAGTGGGCACCTAGAGAAATCTGACAATACAGTATTTGAGAGATTATAGAAACTAAAATAACAATGATTTCGAAAGCGGTGATAATGGTGGGCGGAGGTTCTCGCGGAACACGGTTCAGGCCTCTTGCTCTCGACCAGGCCAAAATCATGTTCCCAATTGCAGGAAAACCTCTTTTGGCGCACACAATCGATGCCATACTAACAATTCCTACCATCAAAGAGATTATTTTGATGGGCTTCTATGATCCGGCAGTATTTACAGAGTTCATCCTGGACTTTAACACGAAGATGAAGTATCAAAATAGGGACTGTTATTTAAAGTATCTGAAAGAGTTTAAAGCTTTGGGAACAGCAGGGGGGCTTTATCATTTCCGGGAGGAAATCCTCAGGGGCAATCCAGATGGCTTCCTGGTTGTGCACGGAGATATTATTTGCTCTTTCCCATTCGTTGAAATGATTGAGTCTTACGAAAAGAGAGCTGCTGAGAAAGGAGGCATTGAAGCTATGCTGTTTGGAGTCAAACTCACCAACTACGACCTTTTCATGGCCCTTAGTGGCTCCGAACAATCTTCGTTTGGAACTATTGTTTCTGAAGACAATGGGAAAGTCATCCACTACGTTGAGAAGCCAGAGTCTAAAATTTCAGATATCATTAACGGCGGCATTTACATCTTCAACGAATCACTTTTCCGCAGGCTCTCCAATGCCAAAATCAGTAAGATTACGATCGCAAACGATAACACAACTTTTGAAACGGTGGATGAGGACGTAATCTCAATGGAGAAAGATGTGTTGCACTTTCTTCCAGATAGCGGCAAGACTTTTGTCTACGAGTACAAAGGCTTTTGGAGAGCAATCAAAACACCTTCGGATGCATTGTGGGCAAATGAGCTCTACTTGGATAAAGTTTTTCAAACCAAAACGGGCCATGGTAGAAGCGTGATCCATAGAGCCTCAGTCAACATTGAACCTCCGGTGTTCATCCATCCTTCTGCAACCATACATTTCGAAAACGGAACCAAAATCGGTCCCTACGTGTCGATCGGCGCAAATGTGACCATAGGCGCTGGTACAAGAATCTACAACGCGATTATTCTGGAGAACTGTGAGATTGGACAGAACTCGTTTGTGCGCAACAGTATTTTGTCTCTTGATTGCAAGATTGGCAACTGGGCTCGAGTTGAAGGAACAGGTGTGAACCTTATCTCCATAAACGAGATTGTGAAGAAAAACGGTCCTACAAAGATCAAAAAAGTGCTCGATGCAGAAAGTAGTCGCGTCATTGGCATCAAAGATTCAGGCAACATTTGTATACTCGGGTCTGGGACACATGTCGGTGACGACCTTTACGTGCTAAACAGCTTCATTCTGCCTAGCAAGTCAATCAAGGATGACGTAAAATATGAGATCATCATGTAACAAAGGCGATGGTTGTTGAGAATGCTTATTGACTAGCACCTTAATCTGATCTCTTATTGTATGCCACTCTTCGATTTCCCGTTTCGTTTTCATGAACACCACTACATAGGTAACACGAAAATAATTTTTTTCACTTTCCGCTTTGGGAATAATCAAGTGCTTTGACGGCATATTTTTATCCCTTTGGAAACTAAATTGCGAGACCTCCTTCAGTTTCATCTAAACTTGTTCCAGAAACGATAAGATACGAGAGCGTAGCACTAACATCTGAACTTGCTTCACTCTTACACACTTGGTCTCTGAAATTTGTCAGATATTCCCTATCGTTGGTTAGAGGCACCCATTGAAACTAACTCTTTGCGCTGTCCCACCACGCAAATTATCAGCGCACGATTTGCCAAAGTACAGCTGCGATAGACAAACCTAACTCAAAGATCCAATACATAGAAACCGATTCCAAGATGCAAGCAGAACATCCGGAAGAAGCAATTGCTGAAAAGATCTTGAAACGGGCCGAAATTGCGAGGATTACTCGGCAGCTCAAAAGCAAGCTTTTCAGGGCTGGCATGAAAGTTAGAGAAAGCCAGGGAAAGACTTCTAATTCCTCCTCTCCGCCTATATGGTCCTCTCCCATTAGAACCTCCGACCCGCTCGACAAGGGGACGTCCCCTTCCACGTCTCCTATGAAGCGAAAATCTTCTGAGACAGGAGATGATTTCTCATCGCCCGTGAAACGCCTACATCACGCAAACATTCCATCGTCGCCATTCTATCCTTCCAATAATGACATTGGATACGCGTCAGTTGACAAGTCACCTCACCAACAGAAGAACGAGCTAGTACCAATTCCAAAAACACCGCCTTCGAACAACAAAGCCATGCTCGACGACATAGCTCTTCAAAAAACGTCGAATGGGGCTAAGGAAAACGCTGCTGGGTCTGCACAGTCGGCGCTACAATCGGCATTATTTTCCACACCTAAGAGTGCTCGTACGAAAAAGAACTTTGATTTCAAAACTCCTAATTCCAGGTACGTCAACGACAACGAAGAAGGGGCAGACCTGCTGCTTTATTTGTCGAATTCGCCAGCTAGAACTTCCAACTCCAGAGAAGCCAAAGACTCCAGCAGCTTCCTCAACATTCCTACAACGCCTAAATCCAGCCACGCTTCCATGCTCAATTTGAACAGCACACCTAACCTGGGGATTGAGTCTACGCCGCCACGAAACAGCTCTTCTGCACTGCCATTCTCTACACCGTCGCTACTGCAGCCACCAAGCACGCCTGGAAATGGCAGTATACTCGGTGCCAAGCTGTTTAGCACCACCAAAAATGGCTCCAGGACCCCGGCGTTTAGTATGTCTGATTACGTGAGCATATTCACACCAAGCCCAAGACACACGCGCACACCGGAATTTTCGCACGGGTTCGTGAAGCCTGCGGTGCTCAGCTACTCGAAGGAACTGAACGGAATAACAAAGAACGACGAAAACTAGCAACAGCATGTAAAAGGAATAATTTAATTGGCTTCTATCAGTATCGTAATCACGTAAGATCAGCCAATCATGTTTTTTGTCAATGTAAGCAAGATCAAGAATTAAGGCCGAAAAATTCGTAATATCAATTGACTTTGGATTAAAATGTCAATATAAGGACAGCCAAACTTTTAAATTGTTGAGGTATTTTTTCTAGTCTGAACGTATTTATAATGACTGTTATTGAGATCACTTCGCAAGACCAGTTCACCGAGCTGACATCCGTGTCAAACAAGCTCATTGCTCTTTATTTCCACACTCCCTGGGCCTCCCCATGCATCCAAATGAATAAGGTCTACTCCACTTTGTCCGACTCTTCTCAGCACAGCAACACATCGTTTCTTTCCATAAATGCCGATGACCATCCTGAAATCGCCGACCTCTTCGACGTGTCTGCTGTTCCCTACTTTGTCTTAGTCAGAAATGGAACCATTTTGAAGGAGCTCAGTGGAGCAGACCCTAAAGAGTTTGTGACAGCGTTGAACCAGTTCAGCGACAAACCACAACAATCACAAAGCTCTCTGTCATCCAATGTGCCACAACCAGAGCCGGCTTCCACTAGAGAATCCGGCTCATCGAGCTCAAAATCGCCTTCCCCTGAAGAAGAAACCCCTGAGCAATTGAACGCCAGACTCGCAAAGCTGACAACCGCAGCTCCTATCATGTTGTTCATGAAAGGTACTCCATCTGCTCCACAGTGTGGATTCTCAAGACAGCTGGTGGCAATTCTGAGAGAGCACCAGGTGAGATTCGGATTTTTTGATATTCTTAAAGACGACGCCGTCAGACAGGGACTGAAAAAATTCAGCGACTGGCCTACGTTCCCACAGCTTTACATTGGCGGTGTCTTTCAAGGTGGACTCGATATTGTGAAAGACAACTTGAGCGAAGACGAGCATTTTTTCGAGCACGCTTTGGAAGAGGCAAACAACGCCAGCTAATTTTGCATGGTAGCTTAATGCAACTAATAATATTTTTTGACTTATAATTGTAAAACCAGCGAGTCGTCACTAAATTCGTCTGCAGACATGTTTTCCTGATCGGTATTCACAATCGGATCAGTGTCAAACTCTGTGTCTGAATCATCGGCCAGGGCAGGGGCTTCGGTCCCAAAGTACAGCTCCTCCAGCTGCGACTTTATTTTACTTGCCACTGGCATGTCGACCTCTTCGTCGTCGTCTACCTTGAATTCTGTGTCTGCCATCATTAAGTTGGTAAAGTCTCCTCCCAGTCTCCTCATGTTCATCCCACGTCGGATGCCTGACTGTTCGCTTTTCTTTAGCAGCTTTTTCGAGTTCAAAATCGAGCACTCGTAAAACCCGTCACAGGAAACTAGTTCGAAAGCGCTCAGATAAGTGTACCTGCCCTGTGGTATGAGTCTGGCCGCTCTCCTGGCAGCGAAGTCGGCCGTCTCTTGCAGAATTCGACGAAGCTTCTTCTTATATTTACTATCCCTCGAATATCGCATGCTAAGAAAAGCACCAGACTTGTTGGAGTCTGCCTTTATACTTTTGCATTCCATTCGTGTCCCTAGGCATGCTATGGTGGTGGCAATTTCGTTCATAAGGGAACCTCCACTGAAAGAGTAGCTCAAGTATGACTTGCACCGCAGATCATCGGAAATCGACAGCGTATCACTGATTCTCGCTATCGACTCGTTCAAACGAGAGGCAATCGACAAGTAATTCTCAAGTAAGTTAAGATGAAACATCGAAGAGGTTTGTGAAATTTCCGTGACTACGTTCATCACGGTCAGGTAGTCGGTCTGGGGTTTTAGATCTGACTGCAAGCTCTCTAGAAAACGAAACTCGTGAGCACGTTTAATATAGGTCTCATACTCATCTTCCGGATGCTTCGTTCCGTAAATGATTTTCCCAATCGAATGAAATACGTTTAAGGCAGACTCACGACCCAAAAATTCATCAGTCAACGATGAGCAGTACTTGCACCAGTACTCAAACAATATTATCGCGTTTCGAAGATCACCAGTGCCACACAGCTTATCTATCTTTTGTTCCACCATCTGCCTGGGAATTTGCTTGATGGAAGATATCAGGGTATCCTCAGCGATCGCTATGCGTTTCAAACACCGTTTCAGGTACCGTTTAGCCACAGGATTGAATTTAATCCTCGTCCATTGTTTGCCTTCTTTACCGATAATCTTGCTCCCAAGAACAAATTCGGTTTTGAAATTTGACTCAAGGGAAAAGGAGCCTGTTCCATTCTCAAGGTCAACCTCATATTCGGTGATACAAAGTATCAGCGGTGGTAATTTTATTTTTGCATCGAGATCTAGCCATTCCAAAATACTTTTCCGGAATGCTTTCAGCGTATCGTCATGATGGAGGTTCGGTAACTCTTCTACAACCACACATTTGAGATTATCCATCGTTAAAACCTTGCAACTCTCCAGGAATTCTCCAAAACTAGTTACGCTTGACATTTCACTAGATGTTTGTGTCATCCAATTTCTATACTGCACCACATTATCCAGACGGTTTTCATGATCATAGCCTTCAATCACCATTTTGCTGTGTGTTCTTCTCCTGCTGTTCATAACCTCTTCGCACAGGATCTTGGCAGAAACGCTTTTTCCACACCCACTTGGACCAGAAAGCACCAAGATCCTGGATTCGGTTCGGCTATTAACCATGTCCTGTATCTGGGTGCGTAACTCTGAGATTTTTCTCTCGTGTATGCACAATTGCGAAGATTCACTAGGACAGTACTTTTCAACCCATGTGACTGAATTATCGATCAGACTGCTACTCCTGGAGATTGTTTGTGGTTTGCGAAAAAGACGGGCAATTTCTGATACTTTGCGTGGCCTGTGACTCACTTCTGCTACCTCTGTATGTGTGATCCCGATCTGGCCATTTTCGTCCTCTGAATCAAGCGAAATGATATTTGACGATGGATCATTCAGGTCTTCCTTTTTGTGCTTCTTGGCATACCGCTCTTCACCATCTGAAGCAACAATAGAGGACTCGCGGCTGGTAATCATCACCATGTCTGCTCCTGAAAACAAGCCATCATCTCTACTCAACTTCTTTCGTCGTCTTCTGTCTGGTACCATCCCTCAAATTTGATTATGCGCATTATTTCCATATTTACCTTACTTTGATGTTTACGTAATCTATAAGCTCTCGATCATGTGGAACATACTAGACAGGGCGGTAAGCTTCATCTGGTCCGTGTAGGTGGCAATCGTATCATCGCGCACTGATTTTGAATTCAAAATCCAGCTCACGTCGCTCTGGAAGCCTAGAGGAACCAAGTCTGCGTCCAAATTGCGTTTCTTGAGCTTGGAAGTATGCTCCCATTTTTCAGCTGCCTGCTCTGCATTATCAACAATACTTCTTGGAACGCCACACATTGCTGCAACGTGCATACCAAAAGACCCGCTGGAGCGTCCCGACTCTAATTTATAAAGGAAGGTGATGTTTCTCGAGTTTTCATCAACTATTATTCCCATCCGAAGGGGTTTTACACGCGGGTGATTGATGAACGAGTTTCCCAGAGTGGCATAATGGGTCGCGAAAAAGCCTATGGACTGGACATGCGTGGCGATGTGGTGCAAGACTGCCTCTGCAATGGCAAATCCGTCACTCGATGATCCTCCTCGTCCCAATTCATCAAGAATGATTAGTGAACGCGGAGTACATGATTCTAAAATCTTTTTGGTTTCTGATAGTTCCACGTAGAAAGTCGACTTTCCTTGCATGATATTGTCGTTGGCGCCGAGCCGTGTCATTATCGTATCGACTGGTGTCATTTTGGCAGACTTCGCAGGGACAAAGCATCCAATTTGAGCCATAATGGTAGCCACACATGTCATTCTCAGGACTGTAGACTTTCCGGCGGCATTAGCACCTGTAAGCAGACCAATATGGTCTTTCTGGTCGATCCCCAAGGAAATGTCATTTGGAATAAAGTCCTTGGTTCCGGTAATGCCACCTGGAATAAAGCATGGATGTCTTAGTTCCTGAAACTCGATCTGTGCCGACGCGCTGTCAATAAATTCTGGTCTACAGGAGGGGGTCCCAAGCGATTCTGAAGCACGCGCCAGAGACAAGATACAATCCAGTTGTGCCACAGCCTTGATGGCAGACGACCAAATAGGGTAGTCGTTCATGAACCTGCCGTACATCCTAGCTTGCAAAGACTCGCCTATAATTTTGTGCAATTCTCTGGCTTCCATCAACTTTCTCACCAGCTTTTTGACTTCCGCAGACCAGTATCTCTTACATTTGGAAGTTGCTGCCATCTGCTGCCAATCCTTAGGAATACGTGAGATGGCTTTGGATGGGACTTCAATCAGATATATCTCTTTTCCGCTATCTTTGTAGCACATCTCCTGGCACTTGAACTCACGTCTGTACCGACTCAAAATCCTCTCTAGCTCTTTCTCTAGCTCTTTGATCTTTAGGTTGCTTTCGTCAAACTCGGGCTCCACCCCAGGTTCTGGAACTAAGATGCCATCATTGACGGCAAGTACCCTATCAAATGCATTTGACCAATTTGAAACACACTCTGGCAATTCATGTGGAAAAGAATCCAAAATTTTGCCCAGTTCTCCTCCTAATCTTTGAGTTCCTTCTGAATAAGTGGACTTCAGTATCTTGACCAAACTCACGATGCATTCGAAACCAGTCACGCAACGGGCAAAATCCTTAACCTTCAAATTTCCGGAATGGATCCTAGCAAGCAGTCTTTCCAGATCAGGAAGCTTGCCCAGTTTAGATTCAAGAAGATGTTTGAGGTCTCCATCTCTCATCAAGATTTCCACAGAATCCAACCTTGATTCAATGGTTTTTCTGGACATCAAAGGATGCGTCACCCAGCTTTTAAAAGTCCGCTTTCCAAATGGAGACACTGCACGATTTAGTAATTTGAACAAAGTGCCTTTGTCACTCTGGTCAAAGGAATTACTAAAAATCTCAAGATTCTGAAGTGTCACACCGTCCAGTCTCATACAGCTATCGGAGAAGCTGGTCTTATATGGGTCATATTGCTCTATGTTACCCATAGAGATCAACGCAGTATCTAGCTTGAGTGATTTGAGATACCATAGGAGAGCTCCAAATGCCGAAAATCCAACATTTTTGTTCGATTCGTAGTACTCCACTAGGATATTTGGGTAATTGGATAGATCGTCCAAATCATTGGCCTCAAAATATTTGCCTCTGGTAAGCTGCTCAAAAGCGATATCAGAGGTCCAAAATTCGTCTGCCGGCTTCAAAAAATTAAATGTTGCATGTGGTTGAGAGTTGAATTTAAGCATTCTCAGCACCAATTGCGAAACTCTCGATTTCTCAATCAGCACCTCCATTGGCTGAACCTGGGCAAGAAGTGTCTCTAATTTATTACAGTCCACATCATCGTCGAACTGTGTGAGTTGGATTTTTCCAGTGGCGGTATCAACAAAACACACACCAAAGGTTTTGCTGTTGTCATTATTGGTGACTTCCTTCAACGATAAGCAATACCTTGACATTTCATCAGACAGCATTCCCTCATCTGTCAAAGTTCCACACGTTAGAACACAAGACAGTTCTCTTTTGATGACTTTGTCATCCTTTGTATTCGCATTTTTCTCTCTGATCTCTTTAGCAAGCAGAGATTCCTTTTGGTCAACCTTTGCAACTTTATATCCTTCGTCAATAAACTTCTTAGCCCAGTAATCAAAAGACATCTCCGGAATTCCAGCTAATCTCATGTTCGCCCGTCCCGTGCCGGCCAGCTTAAGATCAAATTTCTGATGGCCGATGTCTGCATCTTTTTCGTACAGCTCGAAGAATTTGCCCTTTTTAAAGAACACTATGGAGTCCCACATCTTACTTTTGATCTCCCAGTATTGCTTCTCAAATGCAGTAAATTTAGCCCAAGCAGACTTGGGAATGTATAGGGTCCTGGGATCATAGTCTGGATCGGATTCGCTTCGTCCATCAGCATCTTTGATGTGCACAAGCCACTGGTATCTTTCCTCATTTTCTTTTGCAAATTTGGATTGTGGTGTTTGCTTTCTGGCTTGTCTTTTAGTGGATATCTTACTTTTATCAGCCGCAATATACGAGCAATTAGACTCAAATTTGAATGCCGACATACTAGTCCCTGCATCAGTACTTTTTGGAGAAGTTTTTGCGGGCTTGCTGCTAACATGATTGTTACCCTCTTCGTCCATCTCCCCAGGGGAATCATCACCGTTTAGTTCGTCTGCAATATTTTCTGTATCAGGAATAAAATAGTCATCGTCTGCAGACGCGTTGTCGCTCTCGAGTTTGTAATCATCGTCTTCATCATCGTCAGCAATCATCTTTCTCCGTTTGGTTCTGGGAACACTAATATCAGAATCAGTTTCTTCAGCAGAATCTTCGATGTAGCTTATCTTCTTAGCGCGTCTTGACTTCATTAATGGCGATTGTGAAGCGTTGGGCACGGAGTTGCGATTTACAGAACTTGGAGTTCTAGGCTCAAATAATTCTGGCGATTCTGGTATAGTTGGTGCCAGGTTCTGCGGGGCCTTGTTCTCCTTGTCATCAATCACTGCTCCTGATTTCACTTCCTTGGCTTCTTCGCCCCGCACTGGAGAGGAATTTTGTGGAGTTATGATGGGAGGAGACTTCGCATCTGACTCTTTGCTCGATTTATGTTGTGTGGGCTTCGCGTTGAAGAATGCAAGCAACGACGACTGCTTGTACTTAGAAGTACTCTTCGGGCCTCCTTTCATTGCCGTTTTGTTTGCCAATTTGTTTGAAACTCTGTCTTCCGCTGAACTGGTCATGGGGCCTTGAATCCTAGTTATGTCAACTACCCTTCTCAATGCACTTCCCAAAGTGCAAGGATAAACAAAAACAGCTAAACGATTTGTGAAAGTACCACAAGGGATGCGTCAGAAAAATACTCTCAATATATACTTAAATTTATTGAGAACGCGTTCGCGTCGTATATTACGTAATTACAATTCAGAGCTGAGACTTGGCAGTCTCAGCAGATGATCAGCATGAATTACTTCCGTTATGGTAAATATCATATTTGAACGAGTGGGTATGTAGGAGTAATGGTGCATCGTTAAAGCCTAGCCTCTTTGTCAGCTTCAATGATTAGCTTTTTGATAGCGTCCGAGCTCTCGCCAGGGTGAGAGCCGACATACTCTTTCAGGTCTTGCAAAACTTCCCTTACCTTACCGTTCACGTTAAGTATTAGTCTTTGAGTCTCGTCCTTGATTTTGATGGCATTCTTGAGTGTATATTGGAGTTCCTCGTTACTTTCGTCGATCTTCAGCTTTCCCTGCAAATCGGCCACCGTGTCCTCGTGTTCCCTCAGTTCTTCCTTGTATAATTTCTTGTCTTTCAAAAGCCTTTGAAGAGCACTTGATTTGATTTGGATAGTTGAAACCATTCTTTCAGCGATTGTTTTTTATGTTTAGAACGCGAACAGAATTAATTCGGTATTCAAATTTTTAATTATTACGTGCGTCGGAGATAAGTAGTTCCCATTCATGTGACAAGGGTGTCCAAAAGAGTTATCAATTTTACCATATCGTGCAATCCTCTTAACCTAGAGTCTTCGGGCACGTCAGTTTCGCTGATCTCCTTAGTTGCCTTCTTTCCCGTTGAGAGATCCTTTTTCAGAATCGCGGTGATGAGCTTGGAAAAGTGAACGGTTAATTGCTTAGCTTTCTTTGTGCAACGTTCATTTTGAGGGCCTAGGGATATGATCATCGAACATACAAGTTGGAATATGGGTATGTAGAGATCATAAAGAGAAACTCCCTCTGATTTATTGTCTTCGTGAGAAAGACTCGAGTCCAGGGAGAGAATGATCTCGATTGATTTCCTTTCACCAAAGCCTTCATTCCCTGAGCTTTCTAAAAGCAGCGTAAGCCCAATTTCTGGGTCCTCCGCTAAAAATGAGCAGTCAGTGATTGCCTTGAATATATCACACTGCAACAATTGTTTAGCACCAATCGCCGTTTGAGCTATCCTTGTGAGCAGACAGAACAGGGTTTTGAGAGTAGTAAGCTCATAGAGTAACGAGTCAATCGACATCCTTGGACGACGATCAGAGAGACATGCCAGAACAATCTCATCCATCGACTTGATACGCTGCACTTGCAAAAGCAGGTAGTTATTTTGGAGAATTGTGTCAACTAGGAAGCTACCTCTAAGTTTCGTACCTTGCAGGGATATCGAGCTTTTTAGTAGCGTCTCCAGAAGCAGCAACGCTGTAATCTTACATGAGCCCTCTGCTGTTAGAGAATCGTTGCATATTGATCCAATAAATTTCTGATCAGCAGATCTGATGAAGATCATTATTTCAGTCAGCACCGATTTATTGACTGCGCTCTGTTGCAGGTAGTTATTAGCAAGCACATATAGATCGGCTCTTATCGTGGGGGTCGATTGAGGAGACATGATTCCTATGGCTGAAGTTTTGAAGACCGGGAAAAGTCGCGTAGAATCGAGCAAAGCAGCAGTCTCACGATCACATTCAGACATTTGAATGTTTGCCTTGTCGACCTCGTATATTCTGAATAAACAGACGCACAAAGATATAAGGTCTTGGGCATATGCCACATCAAAGTTCAGGTAATCTATCAGTTGGGGAACAATATTCTCGAACACTTCGAAAATGAAGCTTATTCTAGTATTTCTTTCCAATCCTCCATCATTCAGAATTATTTGAGTTAGCAGTGCCCAAGAATGTAGACATTGAAGTTGGTGGAACTTAAAGTTGTCAAAGGAAATTGATGCGATCAGCAATTTCTTCAATTGAAGAAATTCGTCCTTAAAGTACTTTAGATTTTCACTGTCGCCTTTTAATGATAATAATCCTAAAGATTGAGATTCCTTTCCCACAAGGGCGCTAATCCTATCAACAATTGACATATCGTAGGCGAAGCTGTTGATTTCCTCATGACTGAATGATGTCTTGATCCCTATCTTCTTCAAAATGTATTCAAAATTGAATTTTTCGAATGCGGCGTTGGCTCTTTCAATCATATTTTTTGGTTTGAATTCCAAAACATCCAAAAATTCAAACAGCCGGGGTGAGCCCCTGCCGTAGTTCTTGGAGTCTATCAATAGGTTCACGTATTTACGGGTCAAAGAGTACGAACCGTAAAGGGACGTGTGCCTGAGCTCCAACGCAACCAGCTGAAGAATCAGACTGCGGTACATTGTGAAAGCAATAAGTGCACACATACTACCTCCTTGAGTCACAAAAAGGTTTTTGGAACTGATTGCTGAATCAAATGTTCTTCCATTCCAAAATGTATCGATCCCTATTTTTCTGGTAGTAGTCAACAAATCAACGAACAGATTAGAATCTTCAACGTCTCTCAAAAAGTTCAAAAGCTCGTAAGGTTTATGGAGAGATTTCACAAGCTTGTAAATTATTTCGAGGCAAAGGGCACAGATCCTCACGGGAATATATTCGATGTCTGTGACTTTTCTAAATTCCTGCAAAATCAATCTCAAGAGGGTGACTATTGATTTCAGTAAGGACTTTTCTGAAGCAATATATCCGAGATCATTTTTCTCACCGATTGTCATTGATCTAGTGTCTAATCCCAACAGAAAATGAGAGACAGTCGCTATACCGGGTGTGCTTGGAAGATTTTGGTTCAAGAACTGGAGCACTTCAATCTTTAATGTAACTGATTGAGGTTCAGCAATTGGTGCTTCAAGCTGCTCGATAAAAGAGTATCTGATCCTGGTAGACTCATCGATCGTCTCGAGCATGGTGAGTACTTTATCTTTTCTGAGTAATCTCGAACCTAGTGATAGTTCAGCAATCCCTTTAGATGAGGAGTATAAAGTAACCTTTTTGAAAATCGACAACGCTACCTTGGGAATTTCCGAATCAGAAAGACCAACATACAGCGCAATATTGGCAAGCAATGGCAAATTCAGAAGCAACGCCTCGACAAACGACTGAAGACCCCCAGTACTAATAGCGGATGGGATATAGAATGGATTGTCGGGAAGGGTTAGGATAGGTAGTAGCTCGTCCGTATAAAAGCTCTCACGATCCAAAAGCAGCTCTATAACATTGAGTGCTTTCAAAACCAACTTTGATTCTTTTGATTCCGGATCAGTTTCGTTCAGTGCGTCAATTCCAAGGTTAGCAATTGTGAATAGAGCATTGTGGACAGGCATCCGATAAAGGAACGTCAAAACTGCAGTTCCTGGGTGAGATTGTAGATACTGAATGATGTTCTTGCACGCTGTGATATTATCCAAATCTTTCAAATTGCAGGCAGATGCATCCATAATCATTTCCGGATCTAGTTGAGCCAAGCACGTTTCCCATAGAGAGAGTAGAGTTAGTTTCAATGGAGTTGAGTAATCTTCAGCGTACTTTTTGTTTGTAAGCTCCACGAAAATCTCGGTAGTAAGGAACTCCACATAAGGCCAAACACCCTGATTTCTGTAATTCGAGCCCAAGTCCAAAGGGAAGGGAATTTCAGTCGGATCGTAAATCTCGTCTTGCGTCTTCATAGGTTGCAACAGCTTGAGAACCAAAGTAGAGAACCCAATAACTTCCAGTGGGGATTTTAGTGATGACAAGAAAACATCCTTCAACACCGCACTTGATTGTCTTAGCTTTGAGTGCTTGGAAAAAATCCAGGAATCCAAAATACTCCATACTTGCTGCCTTTCGTTGACACCATCTCCAACAAGGGAGCTCATAACCATAAGAATTGATCCGGATAATGGAGTGTTGGCTTTCAGAATATCTGTCAATATTGCGATGAGCTGACGGTTGTCACTTTCGTAAAGCTCAGCACGAGCTCTGTCGCTGTTTCGTGCAATATCAGAAATGAGCTGTAAAAAGCCAGACAAAAAGATCAGAGAGTCTTCCCCTAACTGAACTATAACATTCTTTTCAATGTCTGTGCTCTGATGTAATGAATAAGAGTGATCAGACAGAGTGATTGGTAGCTTGGAAGACAACTGTTTACTGTAAAATGCTAACGAAGAAAAAATGGATGACCAGCTGACACACGAAAAGCGATTTGATATTGATGTTGAGCCGCCTACTGGTGTCTTTAGGGAAAGCTCTTGGGTTGATGTGTTAGTGAGCTGTAAGAAATTGAACGCATTGATAGCATTTTCGTTGCTGTTGGAGAGCGCAGAAAGTAAACAGCAAAATGTCGACACTATCAGCGGGGAGTTGCAACGTGAGGCCCATTGAAGGAACCCATAGAGGCTTGAGGAACTATCCTCCCAAAATTGGGCTGAGAGTTGGGGCCTGGATCTGTAAAGGTAGTATACGGCAAGATAAAAGCGCTCGAGGTCGGCATTCTTGGATAAAACCTCTAACTCGAGAGTGTCACTCAGAAGTAGAAGGTCTTCTTCCATATCACGGAGATGTGTCAGCACAAAGGCAGCATTTTTCACAAAAGAATGCACATATTCGCTGAATACTGACGCGCAGAAGTCGCTAAAATGAGCCTCAAAACTGTACACCTTGGTAGGAATGTAAATTATCTCTGCCTCTGTCTCATCTGCTGTTAGGTTTCCATTTAGCCTCTGTTGTTGAATTGCCCGTTTCAATTGATTTGTTGCGTCTGTATCGACATCGAGAAATCTAAAAGGCGAAAATTTTGGAATGTGCTGCTGGAGGAATAGGCGAAAGTCGTACATGAGGTCTGCCCTAGGGTCAGAACAGCACTCAGGCCTGGATATTTCGGTCGCAAGAGAAAGAAACTGCTCTAAAGCACCTATTGAAATAAGCAGCTTAATTGGATTTTCCACGTTGCTTGTGAAATCGAATTGCTTGGTTCTTGAGCTTTCTGACTTGCACCATGGAATGAAATTTACTAAGAATACCAGCACCAAAAATGCCTTGATTGGGTTTTCTGCTAATTTGTGAGATTCCTGTGTAAGTCCAGTCAGTTTTCGATGCATATTTTTCACCTCCTCATCTGAGTATCTTTCGAGCTCTGATACTTGTTTCATGGTTCCAGGAAGATAACTAATCACTAGAATATCATTTGTACTGAATGACGTAAAGTGGTTGAAAATTTTGTCGAAATCAGTGGGTTGCATCCTTGATAGAGACACCTTAGCATAATAGAGTTCTCCCAAAAGCTGGTGCTCCACGAAAAGCGAATCTCGGCGGTAGATAATAGGCTTTAATAAGTTGGGGTCTGAGAAATTTCCCATAAGCCTTGAGCGGTCTACCAGTTGTTTTATATCATCCAGCTCTTGTTCAATGCATTGATAGCATGAGAGAATGGTATCGTAAGATAATTCCGATAGAAATGCTGTTTTCAATCCCTCTGATGAAGACTTACATAGATAGTAAGTCACAATCTGTAGTATGTACTGCCTTCTGGTATGGTATGCAGCTTTGGCGGAATCGAGAGCAGAGGTTCCAGAATATTTCTGCTCGTTTTGGCTTGCGAAATAAAGTAGCTCCGCTGCGGCCAATTCGTCCAGGTTCAGCTCGTCCGCAAGTTTATTGGCATTCACAACAAATGTTTCATTAAGTTGGTATTCTATACCATCTGAGAACGTCAATTTGCCTTGCTCAAGCCTGGATCTGCTTGCATCGCTTCGTTTTGGTTTGAGCAAGAGGTTTTGCAAATCAAATTGGAGTTCAGCTGATAGCTTCAACTGGATATCAAGCTGATTATGCTTAATGGCTCCATAAAGTGAAGCAAATGGTATCGTTGACCAATGATAGGACATGGAACTTTGAAAGGGCAATGAAAGAATTAAGATTTGAGAAGACTCAAGTCGAATTTTTTCAAGTATAAACAAGGCACCGCCATGCTTTAACTAGCCACCTTGTGATTTTAAATCTCTCGGCCGGGTAAGTTGACGTTACTGCTTATGTAATAATAATAGCTCGAAAACCCTCACTCCCTAATTTTTCAACCCCCACCGAGTACTCCGATATATCAGGGGGTGACAACAAAAACGAGCCGTAACCTACTGTCTGATCTTTAACATGAGTAGTTTTTTATGCACCATTTAAGGGCTAACGGGGCCAAATGTGTCTTGGATACATTGCTAATCTTATAGAGGCGATGCTTTTGTCTCTGGTGAATCATAGGATGCTATAATACGGCTGTGCATTAATGCCGATAAATAATAGTTTTCGTGAAAATAGCTCGAAACAATAAGTTCGTAAGGATATAAGGAGAAGCATTCGAAAAAAAAACTCTAAATATCGGACAAGGTAACAATTCTTTAAGAAACGACTTCCATACTATATCTCGGACTTTCTGGTCATACTTACAGTTACTGAATTTCCTGGTTATTAGATATCAGAGTTGCTTGTATTTGGGCTTCCCGAGAAACGAGAAAAGTTTCATCTAGTCAAAACAGTCATCAAGTTGACAACAAATTGAGAGCTACTTTCACTTGTTTCGTTTTCTAGCAAGGTGTCATATATAACCACATCTGTATTCTTTTTGCTATCAGTAAGGAGGAGTATTTCCGATTGTGTGAAATTAGGTTTCTTTTCAGACCACTTGTACAAAAAGTGTCCATTCATCAGGTCTTGCCTCTTTCACTTGTGAAATTGTTAGTTCCCGCTATAGGATCTGAGATTGAACAAAGCGAACTTTTCAGTGATCCCAATTGAAATAGTGTTTACTTATTTGGTTGTCCCGTCGTTCGTTCAACCTCCCTACCCTTATTCGTTTTATTTATTTTGGGAAACGAAAATGGCCAGTATTTGGGGTCCCTTCGATCATCCTGTCAAAGATACCGCTAAATTTGATTTGGATGCAGACCTGGATTTCAACTTGCATTTCGCAAGACTAGGATTGTCTGCGATGGAAATAACTCCTTCAGGGTCTGAAACATCCACTGTGATTTCCCCTACCACCTCTTCTGGTAACCTGCTTTTCGACGACAGCAAAGAGCGTGAGCGGGGTGGCTCGGCAAATTCAACATACACATCTTCATCAGCCAGCTCTCCACCAGGTCTCGCTCAAGCGACTCCTTTGCCGGAAGACCCTGAGACGAAGGAATTTCCTTTAGACATGTTGGATCTCATCCCGAATCTATGGACTGACAAATCCAAGGACACACTAGGATGCTCGTCTTCAAACGTTCTCAATCCTAGCAAGATTTCCTTTTCAAGTCAATGTGCTCCAAAATTGTCCACTGCAGATAATGTTCATGTTTCTCCACAGCTTGATCAATCGTTGAAAATAATCCCAGCAGCTTTTACTAATTTAGAATCTTCTCCCTTGATTCCTTTTCCGCAGCTTCATCAGAAAACCTCGCCGTTTGCCTTTGCTCAAAACGCCAACTCTTTCAATGATCCATCTAGAATCCAAATGGACGGGCCCGCTCATCTCGCGTCTCAATTTCAACTCGAATCGCCACAAATTCCAGTCCAAAAACCCCAGTTAGAGACAAAAAGCCCAGTTTATGGTGGTGGTACACAACTGGCCTACCCGCTTACAGAAGAAAATCTTCTGCTTTTAAATCCCTCCAAACCCATGATTCAGGGAAACCCTTTGAATGTTGCAGTGGTTCCCACCAGTATGTATCAAAATGATACCGCCTTCCTAATTGTGCCTGCAAGTCCAGCGGTGAACGAAAATGAATCATCTAACTCGCCAAGAGCTGCAGGTGTCCCCTATATGAAACGGAAGGATACCGAGAAGGGCTTTCAACAAAGGAGTTCCACTTCTTCACACAGTCACAAGTCTCATAAAGCGTTTCCTTCCTCAAGCGTAAAGAGCAAGGCAACTGTTGACGGAGATCTTTATAAAACTGAAATGTGCACACAATTTCAGGAAAAAGGAAGCTGTCCTTATGGAGCTAAATGCCAATTTGCACACGGAGAGGAAGAACTGAAAAAAGTCAAAAGAGCGAACAACTGGAAAACAAAATTATGTGCCAATTGGCTTAAGGCAGGATCATGCCGGTACGGTAAGAGATGTTGTTTCAAACATGGTGAGGACGATAGAGGGAGCTCTTAATTGTTTTGAACTCAATGTGGGTATGCAATCTTTTAACGCTTATAGATAAGATTTGGTGATGTTTTTATTTATTGTTCATGTTAATTAAACTCGAATTTCAAATTTATCATTTCCATTACCCCTCTTTAACTTTCTTTTTACTGTCCTAGTAGTCAAGGGTCACCCCTAGTCGAAATTGTCCTCGCACCCACACCCCAATTTTACCGTTGGAATGGCAGCTCACCACCCCAAAAGAAAACGATGATGTACTGTCACCCCGCATTTTTTGCTTTAACGGGCCTATAATTTTGTATAAAGTAGGTTTTCAACATGAACCCAGCTCTTGACTTATGTATATCTGTGCGCGGCTGAATACCTTGTATCTCTGTTGCCTCCTGTTCAAGCTCAAAGAGGTTCTGATTGGGGTATAAATGCTAGTGTGAAGCGCTTTTCACCACCCGGAACTTCCTTATACACAAAGCTGCATAATAAATCTGTACCGAACCACTGTGAAGTATTTTAGGTAATTGCTGCATGGCTTTGGGTTGCTGCAATCTCCCTTCTCTTGGCTATCCTAAGCACCGACGGGGTTGATTATGTAATCAAAAATATAGAAGTCCTCTGCAAATAGAAGGTCGTAGATGTATTATCTTCCGAGATTATAGAAAATTGATGTCCGAACTTGCCAATGATTTACTAAGAAAAAAGGCACGGCAGCTAGATCATTCGTCTTCATTCTCCTCAGAGACAGCGGACTCACTAGGTCAATTACCAAATTCTAGGAGAAAAGAATCACGTATCAGTACCAACAAAGTACCTGATATCACTTCGTTTTTCCCGCATCTTGAGGTGTTCACAAACAATGATGGCTATCTGTTTCAAACTTATTATAGGCCTCCACGCCAAAAAGATAGCGATTCATCAGTGATTTTGGTGATGCATCACGGTGCTGGTTCAAGTGGGGCCACCTTCGCTAAATTAGCACCGGCTATTGAAAAACAATGCGAGATGCAATCAATTTCAAGTGTTCCAGGTGTATTCACGTTTGATATGCGAGGTCATGGGCGTACAGCATTGCTCAACTCTTCCAGTGAGGAGAATAGTAAGCTTTCGATTGACAATTTATGTGACGACTTTCGCTTTTTGCTTCAATGGTTTCATGAAAAGTACTTTCCAGAGGGGCCTCCTCCAAGCTACTTTCTTGTCGGACACTCGCTTGGGGGGTCAATCTTGACTAAGGTTATATCGGATGATGTAAACAATAGTGCCTGTTTAAAGAAGAATTTGGGGCAACTCGTTTCTGGTTTAGTCATGATTGACATCGTCGAGGACACTGCTATCAAATCACTTTCTGCTATGAACAGCTACTTAAATACAATACCTAAGCAGTTTCCATCCATTGAAGATGCCATTCGATGGCATATCGATTCAAATTTGTTGCACAATGTTGATAGCTCACTAATTTCTGTGCCAAGTTTGTTCACCCGCACCGACGAAGGACATTATAAATGGATCATTGATTTAAGGAAGACTGAACCGTTTTGGCACGACTGGTTTGAAGGTTTGTCAAAAAGGTTTGTCAGCATACCCGATCGCATCTCCAAGCTACTCATCTTGGCCAATAATGATTACTTGGACAAAGACCTAATGATAGGACAGATGCAAGGCAAATACCAATTGGTAGTTTTTCACAACAATCAGCTGAAGCATGCCAATACACTCACCACAGCTACTCAAAGCATACCATCGCAAGACGCCAGCGACCTAGGGCATTTTGTGCATGAAGACATACCACTCAAAGTAGCCGCAAGTCTGGTTGACTTTGTTGAGAGAAATGATTACAAATTTGCATCTACAAACTCGTCCTTATCGAACTTTAAATCTCAGGCGGACTTACTTAGTGCCTATAACGCTAAATGGGGAGTCTCCCATTGAATGCTGATTGAGACTCAAAAAGTTATCTGCCAAAAAAAAACATGCCGTCCAAAGTTAGTCCACTGTCATTGTACTAAGTGTTTCATCCGTTCGCAGTTTTGATAAAACGTCGTCTATTTTTTGCCGCGCCCAACTGAATTTTGGGTCTATCAGGAATGGGCGTAGATCGAACCGATTATCATCCGGAGAGTATTGCTCTGCATGGTAGGAGGGAGTGCTGACTGCTTGCTTATGCCGATTCACACTATAATACCAGAAAAAGTTCTTTACCTTGTCGGCAGTTTCTTCAGGAGTCTTCTTATCACCCCATATATGTAATAGTTTGATGAACATGGAGTATGGTCCGCATTTGTCAACTTTCCGCAATCTTCCAAACATGCTTAATTCTTCGTAAGTGAATCCCATATCAGCTTCATCCGACTGGACGTGGCTATCAGTGATCGGCTCTAGCTCAGCCGTTGGTGTAGCATCCACAAAACTCTTCAAAATAGGAAGCTCAAATGCATTTTCGGCCCAGATTATAAATCTTATCAAATCTGATTTCGATATTCCACCAATTGGATTAATGTCGGCTGATGAGCAATCGTACTTAGTCAAGTAACCCCTTAGCTGTTCGTCCACATTTGCAGACCCTAAAACCAAAAGTCCACCTGTGTTGTTCCTTCCTCTAACCCATGGTAAAAGCTGAGCAAATAGGTAAGCGAGTACCATTCTTAGCCGGGCTTGAATGTTTTGAAGCGCTAGGTTCTCTATATTGGATCCACCAAATATCTTAAAAACTGGCTTCTTTCCTGTCGTCACCTCAAACACACTGATAGTGGCTGACACAAGAGAATCCATATTCAAATCGACATGATAAGATCCTATTTTTTCCGCAAGTTCTTTAGCTCTGCTTCTAGTGTCCACCGAGGAATTTTTGGTTCCCATATAGCACGTATGAAAAATCTTTCCAGCCAGGACTTGAGGTGAAGAGGGAATCCAGCCTTGAGGCATATTTGCGACTGCTTGCACATCTTCTATAACCCTTTGATTGCCCTCTTTACAAGCCTGGACAACTAATCGGCACATCGAATGCACTATAATAGATGTTGCACAGCTATCGATTCCTCCACTCAATGGTATAAAAAACCCAGAGCCCTTGCTTCGACGAACATAATCCCATAGCCAGCATGCTGGTCCGTACGCAATCTCCTCCTCTGGTTTGTAGTATTTTAACTGCTGTGGAACGGAAGGACTGATTTTCATGTCAAAGTTCATGGAGTCAGGGCTTAGTTCTGCAGGAACATGAACTCGTTCATATCTTGGCGTTAAGCGGCTCTGAAGCCCATGAGAAATTAATGCTCTGTAAGCCCTCACTTCCTCCAAATCGACAGTTGCCGTTATGACTTCAACATCGTTCAAAGAGAATTGAGATCCCTGAGCCACCACCTTTCCGTTCATTGCGATGAGCGCACAACCATCATAGTACAAACGGTCTCCGTCGCAACCCCTTTGGTTGGCATACAAATAAATGCCTCCACATTTTCTAGTGGCTTCAATGATCATGGCCATTCTTGTGTCTAATTTTCGCAATTCGTGATGCGATCCTGAAGAATTGCTGATAATCTCAATGCCATCTAATGCCATGGATATGTGAGGGGCTTGAGGAGTAAATAACTCTTCACATGTTTCTGCTCCCATACATGTATCCAAAGTACTTATCACTGCATCACCAAATCTAACGGTAATTTGATTCGTTATCCTTTGAATCATTCGAGGCAAAATATAATCCTCAACATACTGAGTTTTCAGCCAAGGGGTAAAATACCTCATCTCTCGATAGTTTCCGTCATTTGCAAGAACAATTTTTGGGCGGATTAATAGGATCTGACCGTTGTAAGACAGAACACGGCAGTTGTATCTACGGTTTCTATGCATAATGGGCATTCCAATATCAAGAAGAATTCCAAAAGTCCGATCATCTGTCAAAATTGAGGCATACATTTCCCATGAATGTAGGTAAACATCATTTTCCAGAAAGTGGTCTAAACAACCATAACCCGGAATTTCCAGTTCCGGCCCCACTCTTAAAGACGCTTTTCTTCTTTTTGCTTCCAATATTGATTCAAGGATTCGATCTCTGTTACCCTCAAAATCAAGGGCCCACTGATTTAACGCACACGTAGCCAGTGTAATATAATGAGGCATTGTATTCTTCTTATCTTATAGGCGTAATTATGAGTGCTAATGAATTTTACAAGTGATGATTTTGGTTGATTAGCTAATTGTTGAGACAAAAAACATGCCTTTATAAGGTTTGTCTTAGTGGTCACAGTTCACTCGTGGAAATGGTACCCGTTGCATGGTCTATTCAAATGGGATTTTTGGAAACCTTAATATCTCAGTCTTGAACATGGAAACGGGCAAAGGCAACCTTAATACGAGAGTAAAAACTCATCAGTTGTATTCCATATGATCTGTTGCATTCCTCAAAAAGAGAATTTTACTTCAGATCCAGATCCGTTCAACAGCAGGTACCATTTCTAATTGGACATCCGGCGAGTAAGCATGAGGATCTAGCCAGCTGATACCATCATTGTGTAAAGTTGTATTCTCCTGCAATGGGATTTTCACTTTTTTATGCAATCTGTATTGTGTGATTCAAGATCTCACCAGACTAAGCAGTAATAGGGAATGCAATGGCTTGTCGTTGCTTATGGGTCACTTGCAGCTGAAGAAACTAGGCAAGGCATTTGATTTGAAGCACGATGTACAGTTTGACAGCAAACAACCTGCCTTTTCTTTGTGTGAATCTTTTTTAATGAGGTAGCACAAGCACCCTTTTGAAAGTATTCACTTCCACTGGCCAAAGCAGAGGACTTTATATCAATTCACATTTATTGACATGTGATTCAGTAAACCAGAATTGAAGTTTTGGCGGTACCGAGCTCATTTATATCTTCCCGCAACGTTATTCAATATCCAGGGGAGTAGCTACGTATAATTTTTCTGACAGAGCAGATAAAGAGTCTCGGCCACATAGTCCCCCATTGCTTACAGTAACAGTCTGTCTTATCCCATCTGCAGATTGAACATCTTCTCTTATCTTCTCGTGGCGACAAATTTTGAATGCTGTAGAATGAAACTAGTGCTACCTCAGCTATTAAGCTTACAAGACCGAATGGTTTCAATATGCATTGGTTCTCACCTAAGGTCACTTAGTTTGAAATTCAACTTCAGTTTGGAAGAGTGAAAGTAGCAACGAACTCCAATCTGGCAAAACATCGTATTAAACTAAATACAAACGTATGGTACATATGCGAGTAATCAGATTACTCCGCTTTGTTTCTTGGTTTGATTATGACTTTTAGACAGTATTTGAAGAGCTAATTTGATCTTGCGGTGTATCAAGCTTTGTTATCATTGGAACAGGATTGGTTGACGCGGTAGGTAATTTTCTACCAGTGTTTTTAGTAGTTTTCAAGTTGACGGAACCAGGAGAATTGAGATCTGAAGTCGACGATGAATTTGGGGACATGATTCCCGAAGTCACCAAGTAAGGCGTTGAAAGGCCAGTTAGCGCACCAGATTCCGGGATACCTATTGTAGTGTCAACCTTTACTGAAGGTCTGCGATTGGAGGAGCTTGTCGAAGTAGGAGTTGTCGATACTCTTTGAAACTGAGTCGATGGTTGAGTGATGGGTGTGTGGGTGGCTGAGATGTTATTAGATTTTAGTGACATGTCTTCATCCGTAGTCGTGTCTTGAATGCTATCACCCTTTTCCAACTTTTCGAGATTCAGACGTGCATTCTCTCTTGCTTCAAGCATTCTTTCTTGAGCTTTTTGAAGCGGGATTGTAGGGGTCACGCACGAAGAAATTGCAGGAACTGACTCGTCAAGTTCAATTGTTGCTTTCATCAAAGCAGCCATCCATCCTCTCATTTCATCCTTGGTTTCGACGGCAAAGTAATGAACCTTTTGCTGTGTGAAAGTGAGTCCTTTCTTTGATCCTGGGGCCGGCGGAACCAATTTGAAACAATATCTTCCAGAGCCAGTAGTTGCTGCGTACACAGTGCTGAGTTTGTCCTCGGTATCAACTGCAGGCAAAACTCTGTGGGCGGTTATATCGATAAGCCCTTTTTCGCGCCTGTCTTTCAACGAACCAAAATAGGACAATCTCGTTTTGTGAAGTGTGAAATATCTTTGTTTCCATGAACCTATTGACAAGTTCCCTCTCTTGCTCATCCAACCTGAGTAGTCCGCTGTTCGAATTGCTTCATCTGGAGATATGTTCCTGATACCTTCTTGGAACGCCGAGGTCGATATCTTGGAAGATCTTAAGCCTCCGAAGGAACGAAGCCCAGAAGTTTTCGAGTTGTTGCTCGCAGATGCCGCTGCTGCGGAGGCTATTCTTTTTGGATCAATGGTTTTGGGACTTGGGGACATATCTTTCGCGGATATAGATCTTCTATTTGAATTTTTTTTGTCAAAATCAAGCTTCTCTGGCTTCACCCCAGTTTCAAGAGTCTGTAAAGATTTATTTGCAGACGGAATTGGCCGACCGTTATCCCCTTTTGATTGCTGCTTCTGTGTTACATGAGGCTGAAGATTCTTGTCCACGTATCGCCACGAGGCATCCTTTTGTGCAACGCTAAAGTCCGAATTTGTTCGAGAATGGGTTTTAGTAAAAAGCGCTCCCTTTTGTTGCAAAGCGTTGGTAAATGATGTGGATGAAGGGTTTCGAGAATGTTTCTTTTCAGTGTAAACAGAAGATGTCTTTCCAATGGAAGATTCACGACTATGTTGGTACCCTCTATTCGACCGATCATTCCCATTGTCCCCATCGTTTTCGAACAAAAGTTGAGAATTTTGCTTGATCAATGGACTTGCATGAGAAGGTGGCTGTGGTGCTTTTCTAGGAGATTCAAAGAGCCCTGTAGGTGTACTGAATTCCTGTTCCGGCTCACTACCGTTATCACTTGGTGTCTCAATATAACTTTGCAGCTTCGATTCAACCTCCAAAGTATCCCTTGATGATTGTTTGAAATCTAGAGAATTTCTAACGCTAGATTTTGATCCGCCAATGTTTGTCCTAAAAATCTCTTCCATTGATTGAGACCTCTTTCTCGCATGAGTACGAGGTGCTACCTTAACTTCTGAGTTTCCTAACCGAGTATTAGGAGATACTATTTTCCTTCTGTGCGTTTTGTTCTTGGAGGCAAGTCTCAATTCCTCTATCTCTTTGTAAATTTCAAACCGAGTGCCAAACGATGTAATTTCAAGCTCTTTCAGGTACGGCAGCTCCAGCTGAAGCAGTATTGCTCCACTGATTTTGTGCCTGGCAAATTGACCCGCGCTTTCAATATCAAAATTCAAACCAGAAAAATATTGGGTAACCTGTTCTGGGGTCCAGCTTGCCACCTCTGCCGGATCAAGTGGTATACCGTTATTTTCATTAGTGATAGAATTTTCGCTGGAATGCAGTTCTTGCAATGCTTTGTCGATATCGCTCAGGGTCCTGTGTACCGATATGTACCTGTTGAGATTTGTGTCATGGATTTGACTATATGGTGCCTCCTCGGTATTTTTAGTTACATTGCCTTCACTATTGTTGTGTCGATCTGCAGTTACAGAAGGAGAAATAGACTCTTCAATTTTCTCCTGCTGGCTAAACGATGAAAAATTAGAAATTCCTGATGATGGTGTGGCGGCGACGGGGCTGTTTAGTGGTGTCCGCCTCGATCTTGATCTAAGTAATGATGGCTTTCCTTTACTCTGTCCTTTGGCCAATTTTGTGAATGCCTTTGGATATAGCCCAACTCTGTTGGTTGACAAGTTTCGTCCCATATACCATCCATCTCCAAATTCACTGTCATCGCTGATGAGCTCTATGGTATCACCAGGACGTATCGTGAGTTCATCGCCAAGTCTTGCATTGAACTCTTTTATGACGCTATAATAATTCTCGTATTCTTCGCCAATCGACATGTGATGAAGATTATTGTTAAACAGAAAACGTAAACTTTAATATAACAATGGTTATCTCCGATTTTTGACTATCTTCCGATTATTTCCCAAACTTATCAAGTTGACTAGAGTTACAAGAACTATGAATGCTTACCAATCACCGCTTAAGCACCGTTCAGCTTTTAAATATGAAATTTGGACTATAAGTTTGCCCTTACGTTGGCGGTGAAAAAAAAAATAACTTATGTTGAATATTTAAGCGAATATGAATTTTCTTACTATGTATCAAACTCAGTTTTATGTATCCAACCAGGGTCAAATGTAGTCTTTTCTACATTTTGACTCTTGGAGATTTGATTTGTAATTGCAAAAATGTTTAACTTAGAGCATCGCTGATGCCCAGCTCTCTCAACTTAACAGACTTTTAGTGGAAGCAAGCCGTTCTCCAAAATCCAAAATGATTAGAGGACACGGTTTCTGGGCTAGTCAAAAATAACCATAAACCATCATACCAAGGAGACTCTTTCTTGCTTAAAAAATAATTTAACCGTCCAACCTTTTGGCCTGATTGATATAATATAAGGTCATTACTTTCAAGCTGCATTCATTCAAAGCAACTTCCACCGCCAACACCAGTCTTCAATTCTACAAATTCGAGCTTTCAATAGTGCTACTCATTGAAAAAGTAGAGTGAATGTCGTTGTGTAAGAACGACTGGATAAGTGCAAATATTAAAATAAGTTGGCAAAATACCTCGCGATAATCTATTGTGTTTAGAAGCTGTGTGTGTAATTGCAACTTCGTATGATTTTAACCCTTGAAATCGACCAAACCAGATTCATCGCATTCGGCAAAACCGCCTGACTGACTACGGTACCTTTTGGGGAAGAAAGTTAAATCGAGACTCGCACTATTTAGTAGCTTTTTGTCTGCACGCATTAACCAAACCTTACTGAATTAAGATATGCTTAGCTCACTCTAGGGTACACTGTCTCTATATCCGATGACTGTTTATCGTGAAATTGGAAGAAAGCAGACTTTCAGGTGGTGAAAAAAAAGAATATTACGCCCAATTCTGGATCTGGAATCAACCAAATAGCAAGCAGACTGGGACCATGCTTCAAAAACCAGCTGCATCTGAATAGATTGACATTTGAGTCACTCACAGTCACGATCAAAGGTGGAAACACATACTTGTTGGAGAAAGAATTCAGAGAACTGCAAATTTCAAATTGCACATCATGGATGGAAAACCTTGCTGTGTCAACCTTATCGTGTCCGTACAACTTTTATTCATAATCTACTTCAGAAATCACCATTCAAGTCTAGACTCTCGACATTTCGCAAACAGTTACTATCTGGGGAATAGTTGTACGAGATAGTGAATGGCTAAAGAGTGAACAGTGCTTGGTCATCCTGATTAGGGATATCGAGTGAGCGGATGTCAAATCTTTCGGTAGGTTTGTGTGCCTACAACAGAAATCGTTTTTCTTGAACGCTTGTTGTATGTCTCAAAATTTCATATACAATTTTGTTATTGTGTACCATCTATGTGAATTCCCAAATCCATAAAAGGCTCATGAACACGAATTGTATTCTTGCACATCCCGTATAAATGCTTGGTGGTTTTGAGATTATCCGGGTGCTCATTCATAGGCAAATTGCCGAAGCAAATAATTCGCCTTTGAACCTAAAGGAAACTCAAGTTTATTATTATTACTCGCAAGTATTAGTTTAGATATTGCTAAACCTTATCAAGATATTGAACTTGACTCGACTTTTCATCAAGGATGACGAAGACAAGCTCCTTTTGAATTTAAGCCAGAACAACTTTTGACTGGATTCGTTTTATGACCTAAAAACTCAGCTTTAATTCAAGCGGAGCGCTTTAAATAGCTCCTTTTATTATTACACTACAGGACACTGCTCTTGTTTTTTTATATACATTTCATATGTAGAGCTCGTTAGGATTACGCGAAAAGCTGTTTCCCCCTGATTTTCTCAAGTTAAAAGCGTTCAAAAGTTGCTTTGCTTTACCTGTCAATATATGGAGCAAATACTTGATTAAAGTGATTGATCTTTTGACATTTTCACCATTATTCTGCGACTGCAACGGTTCCACTTCAGAGAGGCTCATAGGCAACGTGTTTTCATTTGCGCTCAATGAGATAAAAAATCCAAAGGGTATTAACCATACGCATAATCCAAAAAAGGATGCAATCTCTGTGAATGATGGATAGTGGGGCAATTTGAAGTCGGGATTGAGTCTTTCGTCAATCGTGGGGACATAGGGATTATTGAAATGCCTAAACCATAGGAAGTGATTCAAAAGCGCCAGTACACATGTAGCAAAGAAGATTGATCCTGTCAAGTCGATATTTGGAAATTTCCTCAAGTTCTGATAATAAATGAAATATGAAAATAATGAGAATATAGTCAATTTGAGGGGGAAGCCATCAAATAACCAAAGAAGAATCAAGTATGCTGCAGTGCTCTTTATGAGTCTACCTAAAAGTCTTTTAGTCAATTCGGTGTTTTCCTCTACCAACTCAGACAAATAATAAAGACCAGACGCAATAGAGAGCGTGACTGCCACAAAACCCACAACCGAGCCTGCTACAGCAAGCAATTCAATCAGCATTCTGAAAGTAGAACAGTCGATGACAATTTTTCAGGGACAAGCCAGACACTTTGAATGTGGCTTTCCAAAAAGCTGACAGCTCAAATTTGTGTTTTTTTTTTCTTCCCTTTGGAGCCAAACGAATATTTGTGGATTCTATTTTCAGGGGAAGGAAATTTTAAAATTAAATCGTGCTGTTTCATCTTTTCTCCAAGTATTAACTATCAGTCCAAATCCAAAATCATCATAAAAGGAATCATAACTGGGGCTGAATGTATTGGACATTAAACAGGTAAGGTTGAATTATCATATCTAATGGCACCGTTTTTCAAACTTAGAAGTAAATCTTCAAGAGCTTCATCCGATGAAACTTTCCCTCCAAACGAAATCAATCAAAGTACACAGAGTAGCCGGGTCCCCTCAAACTATAGCGAAAAGGCTACGCATGCTCTTCAGAGCGAATCAACAAGTTCAGGTTCGGGCCAGTATGTAAAATCTCATACTACTACAGTCAAAGAACACAGGAAACAACTCGCGTCCTTTGAGTCTTTGCCGCCACAAACGCGTCCTACAGATCAATCTGAAAACTTTCTGCACCAGTCAGACTCAAAACCCCAACGCCAAGCATTCTCTAATCCAATGAGATTGGAAGATAGTCAAATGAAAGGAAAGTCAACATTCACACGACCTTGGAGCCCAGCCGAAACACAAGTTTTTCAGAAAATAGATACCAGTAGATATACTGGCGAGCTTCAACAGCATGCACGATCCGCTATAACCCCTAACAGTCCCTGGAAGAAAAAAGTGCTCTATAATTCTCCCTTCCCCAGGTTTAGTCACGCTGCTTCATCTATTACCTCAGAAGCCGGGGCACTTTATTTGATGGGGGGACTTTGTGGTAAAAACGTGTTTGGAGATATGTGGATTGTAGAGCCTGTGAAGAATAGCTCTGATGGAGCGGACGATTATCCATATATTGCATCTCCAATAGAGAATTTTGAGAAAATCCCATCTCCAAGAATTGGGCACTCTTCAATTTTGATAGGAAATGCATTTATTGTATTTGCGGGGGATACGGTTACAAACACGACTCAAGAGCTTGACAACAAACTTTATTTTTTCAATATTACATCGCTCAAATGGACTATCACTTCTCCTGAAGGTTCAAAACCGTGTGGAAGATACGGGCATCAAATTGGTGTTCTCAATTTTGAAAACGATGCCAGTCCATCAAAATGGTCGAGCTACCTTTATGTTTTTGGGGGGCAAGTAGAGAACGATTATTTCAATGATATGTGGAGATTTGATCTTTCGAACTTTAGGGACCCTAAGACCCAATGGGAGAAAATCGCTATTAAAGATGGGGATGTTGTCCCTCCAATGATCTCCAACCATACTATGACCGCATATAACAACAAGTTTTATGTGTATGGGGGAACGGATGGGATCACCGTTTTCAATCATCTTTTAGTTTTCGACTCTTTTTCAAACAAATGGGAGCTTTGCAAGTTAAAAGGCTCCGTTATACCACCCCCTCTGCAGGGACACGCGGCAGCAATATACCAGAATCTGTTATTTATTTTTGGAGGTAAAACAGTTGGCGGTGAAACCTGCGATGGACTCTATATTATCGACCTGAATACCCTAACTTGCTTTCAGCTGGAATCTGATCTTTTTTGTTCGCCCACTCAAAGGTGTGGTCATACAATCACTGTCGACCCTGTTCATGAAAAATTGCTGGTAATGGGCGGTGATCAGTTGGACAACGATTTTACTCATGTATCTGAGACTACAAACAAACTCATTCAAGATTCCCAGTTTGAATACCCAAACTCAATCATATACCAATTGGACCTTCAGCTTCTTCCACACTTTTTGAAGTTCACATCTAGTCTGAATAAACAGCCTACAGTCAGATCACCACATAGGCTCAGAACGCCATCTGAAATATCTATTGACAATATCAATGAACCTGTTGGTATCAGAAGAGGGTCTAGTAGGGTAAGTCAATATGCTGTTTATGAAAAAGTGAGTGACGATGATGACATCAAAGAAGTATCTGATGACCCAATTGATGAGTATACGGTGCCTAATCCTACCCTAACCCGAGGTGAAGATATGAGTGTACCGAAACTCAAACCAAAAAATGACAACAAGAACTTAGCTCTCACACTTCTCGATTCTGGATCAGAGTCCAATAAATCAGAAAAAACTTACACTCCACACGACACTGTGAGTTCCTATGGAAAGGCACTTAATGCGCCAGAAAAGAACGAGCCAAATCTAGATGCAACTCACGATGTGCGAGGGGAAAGTATAAGTATTACAAAGGACGCTGTAGCAAAGCCTGCTACAGACACCCATCAGAGCGTTGTGAAAACTCCTGGAGGCAAAGATTCATATGAGCTGAGTAAACAAGAATATGCGGGTGAAGATTCTCCTGATCCATCCATTAGGAACGGCTTGTGTTTGGGTTCAAGAACTGTGGAAGAGTTCACGAACATGCTACATTCACTTAAAAGGGAAATGGCTGAGAAGGTTGAAAAGGCAAATCTTCAACTCAACAGTCTAGAATCCCAACGTCAGGAACTTATCAAAGAGAATGAAGCGCTTAGGTCACAGATTGCTAGTGCAGCAGTTGGGCAAAGAGAATCAGTACAAGATGCATTAAATCAAAACGAGCTTTCCCACGTGGGTTCAGTGAGAAGCTTTAGTGATAGTCAGTGTATTGCATTGCAAAATCAAGTTATACAACTGACAGCGAAGAACACCGCACTGCTTTCCAAAGTGAAAAATTATGACTGTCTATTTGAGGAACGTTTGCAAAATTTGGACAAACTCAATCTTTTGGTTCAAGAACAGGAGAGGAGCATTAGGCTACTGAAATCGCATTTGAAAGGTGAGACATTTATATCAAATAAAATAACAGAATTGGAAAGTCGAATCAAGTGCGCTGAGGAAAAGTCAAGGTACTTGTGTGACATCATTGGAATCAGCGATCATCCAACTTCCGATGCTTTAGAATCATTTGCTGATGAAAGGAAAAGTTATTATAAACAAGCCAGTCAACTTTCAGAAAATATCGACAAACTTCTCAATCTTTGGAAAGATGCTCCAAGAGAGCATATTCTTGGTCACCTAGTCTATGACTCAAATTTACCTCGTCAGTTGTCAGGTGCAAATGATGGTAATCTATCAGAAGAGCTGCAAAAGCAAGTCAAAGAACTTTTAGCAAGCAAGAAAAATGACGAGGAAAAGATTAGCAAACTCTCTGAAGAATTGAGATTGTATACTGTCAAAACTAAGGAGCTCCAAGATTCATACTCAAAATCTTACGCTTCGCTTAAAAACTCGCATAAGGCGCTTACGGTATCTCAAAGCGAAATTGAAAAACAGAAAGAACTAAACAAGCGTTTGGTGACTGAACTGAAAGAATTGCAAATGAAAAGCATGAACACTGGCGACAGAGAAATGAATGCTAGCTCATCTGTCAAAAATGGCACCTCAGGAATTGATACTTCCTTTGACGCCCGGTACGATTTCAAGATCAAAGATTTGGAAGCAGACTTATTTATTGTGAGTCAAGAAAGAGATCAGTTGAAGGAAGAAGTAATACTGTTGAAAAAAAAGCTTTACGCTGTTTCATCTTGAAACTGTTTTGCTGATATTTAAGATATAATACAAACTTTTAATCCAATTTGTCATCCATCCAATTTATTTGAGCTTCTACTTTTGAGTCCTTGATTCCATTCCATCAGTATTCTGACTTTTTCAGTGAACTGTCATCAGAGCACTCAAAGCCGTCTACCTTTCTTTCTCGGCTTGTGTCATCGAGATTGGAGCTTCGTCTCGTTTGTTTACCATGTAATCCGTAGGACCGACGTTTAGAAAAAGATGGTGTGCGTGGTTTTTTTGGTGATGATGAAGGGGTTGAGGTTTCGGATTCCTCATCCGCCGCAAGATTGTGCTTAATCTCGTTTACAAAATTCCATAACTTGCTGGATACTGACTGAACTATGTCATTTGAGTTATGGAATTCTTGTTCATTCGGGCGCTTGTCAGTGCCCTTCTGTAAGGAGGTGTCTACTTCTTGATTTCCTTCATCAAAAGAGGATGAACATAATAGTCCTTCTGAATTATCAAGGTGATCACTTGTGCGCTCCGAACCAGAAAGTGAAGAGTTCATGAACGCTGGGGTTATGTGCAATTTCTCGAATTCCTGGTAAATCAGCGAGTCAATTTGTTGGAACAATGTAAGAGGTTTGGCAAACCATGATCTGCCAAAGTCGTCCCTCAGATCGTCATCTACTTTGTCTGAGAAATTAGAATTTAGAAGCGGGTCACCAAAAACACCTGTAGTTTGTAGTCGTCGTCTTTGTAGACTATTTGGAGATTTTGGAACATGCCTTTCGAATATCGCATGATTACTCCTGTGTGGCTGACCAGATCCAAAATTTGTTGTGAGTTCCTTTTCAATACCAATCTTTAGTTCCTGAATCTCATTTTCTAAATCCTTTTTTTTGTGGGAAAGTGCGTTCATTTGCTGGTTTATCTCTAAGATCTCCATTTCTTTGGAAGCCAAAAGACGAAGGTCATGCGACAATCCATGATCTTGTTGATCTGATTCAGAGTGTCTCGTAGGTGTTATTGATGGGCTCTTTAAGGATGAGTTCTTTGCCATGTTTGGCAGGACTGGGTCTTGATTGAAACCTTCCTGCTTCGCTGAAGAAGCTCTTGAGCATTTCCCCGTGTCAGGGGTTTCAGTGCCAAAGACAGCAAGTCCCAGATTAATTCCAGTTCTTTTGTTGCTTTGCAAGGAGCCATCTGCATCCTCCCCGCGATATGGCGAAGCAGGATTGATACCAATATTTTCTTCTTTTTGTTCTTCAAGAGCATCATATTTGGGCGTCACTTGAGTGTGCACAGTTGAGACGACTTTAGTATTTAAAGGCTGGTTTGAAACTTTGAATGTTCGATTCATTGGCATATTTCAGCGTGGAAACTAATGGTCTGTGGCGTTTCACTGTCGCCAGTTCGCGTTTCTATCAGAAGCTTCGACTTTTATAGCTCAATAAAATACTCAAAGTCTCCAGATAAGAAACTACAAAATTGCTCCCGCAAAACCGCGGTTAAATTTCAAATCGTGTTAGAAGTAAACTTACAAAAATATAGACAAATACCACCGGTCTGAGAGTAAGACCTCTTACTTTAAAGTGGAAAGCGATTACTAATATGAGTAATGTCGACCATGTTTTTCCCCTGGTTGATCATGACTCTAACTCTGGAGGTGATCAACTGGTGTGTATAATGCCTCACCCTAAATTTGTCGTCAAGACCAGGTTGATTAAGCCGTACAGAGATTTACCTGCTAGGACCAAACTTTTTGTCAACGTTTGCTCCAATGCTAATGTTCCATTGCCAGGAAGCTTGTCTGATCCGATAGATTGGAAATCTCTCTTCGTCTCCATCGCTAATGATGAATGGCAAATACCTATTCTACTTTCTCCTGACCTGAGAAATGGTAGTGATAAATCCGGGAATTCATCTCTCATAATTGACTGCATTCTAAATGAAAAAGCTTTCAAAATGATACTTGCCAACATCTCCTTTAGAGACATTGTCATAGAATGGTGCTTTGATGCGATTGAATCGCGATTTGATGATGATATACTCATCGATAGACAAGTGAAAGCTTTGCCGAAACGAACATGTATGGGAGAGTTATCTACGTTTCAAATAAAATCCTCAGCATTGAGAGAGCTCTCAAAATTGACTCTCTTTCCTTATGAACACGATCAACACTCATTTTCAAATGCTTTCAAATCTGAATCTCGAGATGACAGCTCCATTATAACACCTTGGCCAACAAGGATTGCAAAATCTGGTGAGATCAACTCCACGGGAGCCAAACAAAAGACAGTATTACAACAGGATTTGAAAGTAAATGCTTACTCTCACATCAATGCTCTCAATAATGTTCCTCAGCTTAGGACTCTAGATCCTGAGGAAACGGAAGATTCCTTTATCTCTCATGTGAAATGTCAAATCCCAAATAATTCACATGATGAATTAAAGTTAATGTACCACAAAAAATCTAACTGCTTGATTGTGACAACCAACTCCCCGATCAACGATAATTCACCCATTAAGATTCCCTTGGCAGGTTTGATACCTAGCGTTATCGAGGCAGTCTGTGTCAAAGACGACTACAAGGCAGATATTTTGCATATATTTCTTAAATAGCATGAAAACGTCCTAGAATCTCTACGCACAAGATCAACTTCTTCCCTTGCCAGAAATCACCCACGAGCCAGGTATCGTTTGCATTTGTAGTTGGTGATCTGATCTTGTCTCAAGGGCTTCTCTCAATTGATACCAATCCAAACATGACCAGTCTGAGTATTTTGGTTGAATACTAAAAAGCTCCTGAAGTGAAAGATCATGAGACACTTTCAACGCCACTAATTCTAACATACATTTTGAGGCGTCAAATAGTTCATTTACCTCCGCAACTAGCAATATTAGACAGCTATCATTGATTGACTTGTCACCAAACTTTAGCCCTTTGTAAGAGTAAATATGCTGAATATTAGGCATATCTATGGAATCGAGTGAGTCCTTAAGGTTCAAATCATATAAGTAAACCCTCTCATAATCGTTGTAAATTAAGTAGTGTGATTGTTGAATAGTTACGATTTGTATATTATACATTGGTCCGAGATGATGATAGACATTTTCAGAAAAGAGGTTAGGAATTATGGTAGAGATCACAAGTTCAGAATTTCGGAGATGATATAGTGAGTTTCCTATCACTTGAAAATTAAGTGCGTCCTCAGTATTTTGGATAAAGTATGATTCAACACTTTTACCACTCATGAGGTAAACTGATGTCCTTAGTGGACTAAATGCAGCGAAAGAGCTATCGCTTATTCGCCAAACCTTTGAACACGATTTCTGAAGCCTGATCATCAGATCATCGTCAAAAGTGCTCAACTCTTTGAAGTGAAGAGTTCCGCAAGACGTTAAAGATGCAAACACATTATTGTTGAGTAACACCAAATCTTGAGTATCGGCATGACCAATTCCACTTCTTACATGTGTCATATAAGCACGATTGATTTTGAAATGATGCAAGACTCCATGGACCTTGCATATAATACTAAGATCTCTGTTATCGGATTCATATATTGACGCGTGAGCAGTAATACATTCCAGCTGATGAATGACGTGTGGTTCGGGTTGCAACATGAAAATATATATCATTGACGACGTAAATACAACACCATATGAGTTAGTGAACTTACATGATAATGCAGTACCCTTGAAAGTGGTGAAAACTTTATGTGTAGCAACTAGGGCAGCACACTTTGTAGTCACTAGTACATTTGCCGCGACCCCAATTACATCCCCCAGCTCCTTGATGTTGATGGGGCATTTTTTGATTATAGCAGTATCCTCCTTCAATGTTAACTCATAAAGGTATCCATCCAAACAACGTGCAAATAAGTGGTAGACATTTATTGGATATATTTCACAAAAGGATTCGTAAACAGGAATTATGATTTGCTTAACCCTTAACTTGCTACGCAGTTTGATTGAAGTCACATTATTCGAATCGTCCTGCAAGACTTCAACAAAATCAGCTGTACGATTAGCTGAAGAAATTTTAGTAGCTTTTGAGTCTATGAGCAAATCGGTGACCCGCACAAAGAATTGTTCTCTAAATATCCTCAAAACTTCAAGTTTCCATCCTTTCGAGAACTTGAGCAGGAAGATATTTGAGCTTGATATCGCAAGATATCTATGATTTCTCAGTCTGAGCATCTGCCTTGGTTTGATGTATTCACTCACCAATTTGAGTTTGTACTCAAAATCATGCTTCCTTACTGTATATTTCAAAAGATATATGCCTTTATTCGGGTCACAAATGATAGCATGACCTTCCTGTATGAATAGAATATCGGGTATACTACCATTTGAACAATAAATTTCTAACCCTTCGTCGTAACCAAGGGTTCTGTATTTGTTGCATGCACTCGATCTCAAGACAACTCTAACCTTCTGTGAAACTATTAAAAGGTATCTGTTTCCAATCGGTATGATTTTTCGAATATTTCCATCTTGACTACGAGCAAGGCCGAAAATTTGAGAATTGCTGTTCGAAAGCTTGTAAAACCTTGAGTCAAATCCATTTGAACAAGTAATAACCTCTTCAACAAGATTTTCAGCTTGTCGATGTACCCAAGGCAGGCATAATGTTCTGCAGTGAACAGCATACATGACCAAAACGTTTCTTTGACTTTGTGAGAAGAAATCTGGCCCAAGTCGCAAAACACCGTCGTCCTCATAGGGCTGAAAAATTACTTTGCAAGCATTCACGTATACGCGATACAGCTTCTGCTGATTATGGACGATTGTGAATCCTGATATTACCCCGTCAATGAAAGATTTCTGACCATACTGGTAACAATAGTTGCGTTTCTCTAAGTTATGAGCACAATAAGCAATTTCAAACCGCTCGTTGTTCCACGTCAGCATGATCGTTAGGAATTCTCCACCACAATCAACTATAACAAGCAAATATCGTTCAATGACGCATACGTGACACATATTTACGTCATGTATCACCAGTTTTCTGACCGGTTTCAAATTCATATCGTAAATTACAACCTGAGAGCCAAGATTGATCACGACATAATCCAGCCATTTGATCACGATATATTCCTGCCTGTTCATATATCCTTGTGCAGGTTTGGTAGCTTCACTATTAATCTCCATCCCCTGCCTTTGTTTCCCCTAAATGAGCTATCCAAATCTAATTGACTTTTCTTATTTTCAAATTTGAAAACACAAATATAATACAACCCACCAAGAAAAAAAATTAGAGCCTACTCATCTTCGAAAGTTCTAATGCATTACCTTGTTTTGTGTCTGATAAGGATTCTCTATTACTTCCGAACCTTCAAAGGGTGATATGGTAAGCAGAACAGGGCCTCTCACTACAACCAGCCCCAGGTGGCGCGTTTGACTTGACAATGTGTGGCTATCGCAATCCTCCTTCAACGTTTCGACGCAGTTGTCCAGAACGAGGTTCATGAGCTGGTCAAATCCTTTCAGAACCCCATTCACTTTCCTTCCTCCTAAAAAGGTAATCACAAGTCTTTGATTTTGATATTTCTGTAAGTCCAAAATTGCATCCCTTTTAGGACCTTCTAATTTGTCCCTCTTCTGTCGCGGTCTCTCTGACTCATAAAGTTAGTTTTCGATTGTTAGCTGAATAACCTACCTCCATTCTCCGATTGCGAAAATAATTATTTAAATAATGTCAACATTTTCAAGTAAGTCACTAATTATGAACCGTGGTCAGGGCCCAAAACCATTCAAGGTTACATTAACAAATGGTTTATCAAATTACAATTTCAATCACCGCTAGCACATCCTCGACATCCACAAGATCTGCAGGCTGGGTTTTGTTGTGTTTCTATACTTTTTGGAACCCTGCAAATACAAGTACTATTCGCGTTAGATTTTTCGATGCATTGCAAACAACACAGATTTTCATAACCCTGTTTTCTCCATTTAGCGATAAGTTCAGCGTCTCCGTATTTGTGGTTCAACAACCAATCATATGTAGGCCTTGTTATCAACTTTTTCTTGTAAAACATCTCATATATGTATCTTGATCGTTGATGATTAATTTGGGAGATTTCCCATAAGCTCTCGTGCTTAGGACGCCCCATTTTTGCTATCTTAGATTCCGAACGCTTCATTTTCTCTTCAAATTTCACCAGAGTTGGCTGTAATTTCCAAAACTCTTCGGGAGTTTTAGAGTTCGAACCCTTGAACCTTGGCATTTTATCAAAGTGTAGTAAGGGTCCCGCTATACTCAAAGTTTTAGAAAAGTGTATGCATACTACTCACTCATAAAAAAATAAAAGAAAAATCGTGGAAAGTCGATACATGATGGATTATGTAAACGTTTTCGTGACTTCTGACCTTACCTCATCGGAGAGACGGATCTGTCTCAACTGGACTATCGATTTCTTTAAGTCGCGATTAGAACTAGTTACTGGAGTTCCAACATCTGATCAAAAGGTTTGGATTTATAAATCGGCTGACGCCGCTGAACGTGAGGAGATAACAGCCCATGGATCACAAACTCTCAGTACATATCATATTAGACCACACACAAGAATTCACGTCGATAATACGAATACAAAGTCAGTGCTGAAAGAATTAGAAGCAGAATTCAGCAATAGTACTGGCCAACTCTACGTGATTGATGATGAGAAATATAAACAACGCAGTGATAGCGTGCTCAAGTGGAAAATGGAGAATGGTTATGGCGAATTCGACCCTCACTTTCAAGCAAAACATTCCTTATCAGCTCAGGAGATCAAAAACAGGGCGGAACTTCTCCGAGTCGGGCAATCGTGTGAAATTTTGAGTGGAAATACATCCAAATCTGGTGTGATAAAGTTCATTGGGAAAGTAGATGAGATAGACGATGGCAAGTCCATATGGGTTGGTGTCGAGCTGGACCTGCCTCTAGGAAAAAATGACGGCAGTTTGCAGGGAAAGCGAATTTTCGACTGTGAAAAAAACCATGGATGCTTCGTCAAGCCCTCCAAAATTCGTTTGCTTCATACCGACCCAATGATGCCTTCTCCAAACTCTGAGGACGAGATTTGACTAGCTCATCTCTACCGCAAGTAGGGCGCCTGCAGTTCAAAAAGAAAATGTGCCTGAAGTTGTTACTCCTTATCTCAAAATGATGTGGCTCAATCCATCTAACCTTGCTGTAGCTCCAATAATACGTCTAGCAAGCTCGTACACATAGAATAAATCCTTAACGCTGTACTGCACTTGACTGACCGTAACGGTAAATATAGATGTTTAACAGAAATGACGTGGAATCTCGTAGAATTTTAGTAGTTATCAAGTAGCGAATCTTTCTTCAGCCCAGTGAGCTGGATGGTTGGCTTTGGAACATCTGTTGGGAATAACTAGAAAAATCATCTGACAAAATCGATTACCATACATCAATCCCAAGAAAATTAAATCACTACCGTTTTCAACGATACTTGAAAACGTTTTTCAAAAACATCGCCGGACCGTACCTTTTTGTACATAAATTGTTAAACCCTGCTCGAAATTAGCGGGAAAAGCTGTATTAATAGGTTATCTGCTTATTTTAGACTTCATCAAAGTATGTCATTTTTCAATTTGTGGGAAGGACTTTCTCAAGAATTCGATATTTATAAAGTCCTCCGTTTGGTTGTCATCATAGGTGGTTATATCTTTTTCAGACAAAGATACTTGGAATTTATGAAACACTATCAAGTCAAAAAACAGCTAGAGGAAGACCATAAAAGGAATACCGAAGCTTTGATTGAAAAGCCGGATATTAAAGAAGCGGAACTTACCGGCGTTGCAGGTAGTGATAATAGATGGGGTTGGGGAAAAAGAACAAGAAGCAAAGTTAAAGCACAACAAAAGCTTTTCCAAAAGCAAGTAGAACAAGCGGCATTGCAGATTTCACAAACAAAGGGATCAGATAGCGATGAGGAAATAAATGAGTTATTGGAGGATTGAACGAAACTCATGACTGGTTGAATAGCTAGACATCAAGAAACTCCTCCAGGTTTATAAAAGGATTACATGGTATGTTTGTACTAGTTAACGCTTTCTTCAACATTTGGGAAATTAAAGCCACCAGCGACTAAGTAAACAAGATTTTCTTAATGTAATACTAAGTCAAGTGATTTTCTGATAGCAGCGTAGTTACCAGTTGGACAAGCATTAGCTGTAGGCTAATCTTATGTTCTAATCACTTCAACATACTGGACTATAAAAAATGCACAGATAATATGATCAAAATCAGAGTTCACCGTAGTAGCAGTTTCCCTACATTTTAGAATTGTACGTCAAACTACAATTTTTTTTCTCACGGCTGGAAATTTAGTTTTCATTTCAAGTTCAAAATCTCACATAACGATGGCATATGGGGAAAAGAAAAGGAAAGGCTTGGCTTCTTTTAGTTTGGATTTTACGGATGCCGGAAGTTATGTGGACACTTCGGATTGCATATACTCGCAGCCCATATCTGGGAGTTTGACCATGAGGGAAAAAGAAGAAGTTTTTAAATTTACACATTTCTGCGATATAATTAACACTTCCTACTATTATACGGACAATCTGTCATCACAAATTTCGAATAAAAACTCTATCACAAAATATAAGAACCGGAGTACATCTGACGAAGGAATTACACGCTACTCGGACAGGTACAGAAAAACGATACAGAAGCAAGATAAAAGTCTAAATTATTATTCTTCGATTTTTTTCCCTAAAGAATTGAAAATTTCTGGTTTTGGACGAAAATCAGGTAAAGGAGGTGCATCCAAGTTTGCCTTTACAACATTCTCCAAACCCCTTGTGACAGAATTGCCCTCGTCGATGAATTTGAAGGAAAAGCAGAAGCATATTATTGAGAAATTTGATAGCGTTGAAGATTTTGACGAAGATGCAGTCGAGGTGGAGGAGGAGGAAGACGAGGAAGACGATGAGTTTGAAGAGGAAGACGACGATGATTACAATGCCGAAAAATATTTTGATGATGGCGAATTTGATGATGCCGATGAGGACGGTGACGATGAGGTCGCATTTTAACGATTCATTGAAGTAAGGACTCATTATTATCGCTTCCTTTGAAGCTTTCTGATTTGTGAGTACGAAAGGTTCATTTTGCACTGATCATTCTCTTGTTTGGGACTGCGAGAACAATTGGAGCCCAGAAATTCGTTACTCTTTCTAGGATAGGCTCTTTTAGAGTCAGTGGGGTAAATTGGACGATTCATTTGTGTCAAAGGGACTCTATGAGATGGTGGCACAGGTGCCATACCTTCTTGGTCTACGTCAGATGTCACTATGCGAACTGCAACTTCCTTGTCTTCTGACGAAGGAAAAGTGTGTTCTGAACTACCTTGCGCTCCACTGTAATCTTTACTAGAATTCTCTCGTTTGTCCAAGTCGAAAACCAGATTTGATAAAAACATCTTTCCCATTCGTAATGCCCCAATATTGCTAGAATTAGTATGTGTCTCAGCTTGATTTTCCTTCGTGCTCTCACAGTAATTTGTTGATTCGAGCTCATCTTCATCACTTGAGTCTTCAAATAGTTTATGCGTTAGCAAGTGTGTTTGCGGCTGGCGCACAGAACCTTCAAAGTCCGTTACATTGGTCTGTGTGACGGGCCTAGTGAAAGTAGATGAAAACTTCCAGGCATTTTTGACAAGCCTTTGTAGAACACTCTGCTCCGTCTCGAACGGCTGACTCATCGGCAAAAATTGGCCTGCTTGTTTTACTTTTTTGTCTTCATCATTATTATTCAACTCCTTGAAATTCTCGCCATCACAGTTAGATGGTTGCGTTGCTTTTGTTGGTAGAATAGAAGGAACAGGGTGCGATAGAGCAGATGAAACCATGCGCAATTTGGTTAAAGGTTCAACATGAGCGGGCACGTCTTTAGACGAGGAGTAATAAGTCATTTCTAGATATATTTTCCCTGCTGGCCTTCCGTTATAGCTCAGTGTAAACCAGTTATCATAGCCCTCCTTGGATGATCTGCGAAGAGCGGGTGTAAAATCTATGTCTGCTTTGCAAACAAGTTCAGAATCTTTTTTCATCTGGTGGTAAACAATGAAATTCACGGTTGTTTCTTCAACGTTGTCGAGGGAAAACCATAATTCATCGTCGAAATGTGGATTCTGTCCGCCTCGGGGTACAATCTTTGTTTTCTGAACTTGATCCTGTATTCGCGCAACGCAGTATGGAGACTGCTTGTCAAGTTTTTTCCTGTTGGGTAAATCTTGCGCTTTGGAAACTATGATTACTAGTTGATTGCTTGGTTGATATAGCCTTACACTGTTCACTTTTGATGATCGGAATGAGTCATTCATGGGCAAATATTAAGCAAGTCTTCGAGTAAAGAAAAATTAAGAGGATAATTTACTCATATCTTATTTTGTAGTGTTGATGTTTTTCCCAGTTGGGATTCTAAGTAAGAAGTTACCAAAAATGAATAAGAGTTAACTTGGAAATTGCCGGACACAAGTGGCGGCTGATTGATTGTGTTAAGCTCTTTCATACATAGAAAGCTGCAAAATCTTGTATGACAGTGCATTAATGGAATGGTCAGGTCAAGGAGGTCTCTTTTTTTTGAAGCGAATCTTTGCATCCTTGCACTTGAGCAAGAATTTGCTGATCAACTAACTGCCCTCAACCAATTTAGACAAGAAAACAAAAATTCATGCAGGCACAAAGGTTTCAGTTCACTTCGGAATTCTGGGAGTACGTGCAGTTGAGCGAGGGAGGTAGGCCAGTATGCTCCTCAAGTGAAAGAAACTTGTTTCTTGGAACGAATGTTGGTTTGTATTTAGGAAACTCGAGAATCGAGAATTATCAAAACGGCCGACTATATCTAACAAATTTGCGCCTCATCTATGTCCCATTCGCATCCAACGAGGCTTTGGAGAAGAACTTAGGTTTGTCACTGAGTCTAGCCTACATCGAAAACCTTCAATTTCAAGCAGGATTCATGAGATCAAGTCCAAAAATTCTTTTAACTTTGACTAAATTATCTCCAGATCTAGGGTATGATACGGTCCATAATTCTCTAGATTGGAAATGCACCATATGTTCTCATTTGAATAAATGTGATCTAAAGTTGGTATGTGGGTTGAATGTTCCGAAATGTGAAGTTTGCGGAGTTAGCGCCAACGTCTACGAGCTTAATAAGCTCAAAGTTGAGAAGCAAAACAATTCTCGATCGAAAGCATACAAGAGGGGCCATTATTACACTAGTTCCAATCAAATGATCTGCACAAATGATCCTGCCAATAGGTTGCAAGAAAGCGGAAGTGTAAACTCGCAGAAACATAATTTACCGAATGCAATATCATCAAAATCAAAACCGATTTTTTGTCTATCCGTTAAAATCGATGATATAGATCAGTTCAGTTTCAAGCTAAGCTTCAGAAATGGAGGGGCTCGAACATTTTATGACAAACTGGAGTTTGCTCTCGGACAAGCCAAATGGTTACATGCAGATTCAAGATATCAGGTCAATGCTGGTGCTTTGAAAGTGGCGCGATATTCCTTTCCAACTGATACTGACATTCAGTCAACACCATCGAACATGACCTCAATTTTGAATCTTGAGTCCACTGAAAAACGCGCAGGTATTCATGGACTGGAAACGCTGACTTCTCTAAAAAATAGTGAAGTTTCCACATTTCTCAACAGCTCGCTCAGAGACCTACAGAACTTGATGAATAAAAGCAAGGACTTGGCGAAGATTGGAGATGACTATAGGCGAATGTTGATGAGCGGTAAAACTGTAGATAAAGAAGTTGGTCATGCAGTCGAGCTTCTCTCGCGATCCAGAAATTCGTTGAAGTTATTGGGAAATTTACTGGACGATCGAGAAACTATCAATGAAGCTAATGACTTCTATACTGTCGAGTCACTCAATTTACTTAAGCAAGCGAGTGGCACACAAGCTGAGTCGTCTCTTTACGTGGAGGAACTTTCTCGACAAGTGTACGACTTCATCGTTCAGGAGAATATACTCAGAGACAAAAATGGACTAGTCACTGCCCTTGATCTCTACTGTCTCTTCAATAAAAGAAAAGGATTTTACTCAGTTTCTCCTCGCAACTTCCTTCTTGCAACAGTCTCCCTTGAACGATACAATCCTGATTTGCAGCTAATCGAGTTACAGCTACAATCTCTTCAAAAGGTAGAGGGGAAAGCAGAGGGGGGCACAACTGAAAAGGCTCGTTCGCTTTATGCTATCTGTTCTTCGAGGATGAATGCCAAATCCATTTCGAGATCAATTTTAGATGTTCTGGAGTCCGGCGTATCTGGAGGCTATTCTGCCTTAGAGTTTCAAAATATGTGTTCGATACAGACGAATTTACTTTTACTTCAATCGGTCCTAAACGCACTGACTCGAGATGGTGTTTTGTGTGTCGATTCAACCCTACAAGGTGAAAAATATTTTAGGAACGAGATCGTTCAATTCAGGGCCTAATGCTAAGTACATCAGGATCCTCACGCAAACTCCAACATTGTATCAGTCGATATTTTTAATAGGTAGTCACGATATCAATATTTGGAATCCTCCAGACAAATTATTCAGTTCTTTTTATGATTGTACTTTGAATCAGGGACCCCATCATTTGATAATAATGGCATGTTCTGTAACCCTTTATTTCCTCCTTGTATGTCCGTTTCCGTACCCTTCGCGTTCACGTTCTGCAACTGAACCAACCTCGGTAAGTTTTCTATTTGTTCAATGACAAAATTGCGTTCCACTGTAAAAAGTTCATCTTCCTTCCTATCATTGGCAAAGGTTCTCAGAAACTGCAAAAGGCGCTCACGATTTTTCGTCAGTATTTCAATTATGCTTTTTGATTTTCTTGGGTTGGCAATGAATATCTTGAATACATTAAATGATTCAAATTGTACGTTCTTAGATTTGTCACCCAGAAGAATCATGATCAACTTCAGGTTATGCGGCGAGTTCACGTAAGTAGTCATAAGATTGTAGTTAGGCTTATCTAAAATGAGCTTGGCGAGCAGTTTCACAGATTGTCTTTTTGTGACATAATTCGGGGACACTATTAACCTGTTGATTCTGTCAATGAATTTGTTTAGATTAGAGTTGAAGAATTCACTTGCGACCAGTTTGTGGGTGGTCAAAAAGTCACTTAAAGTTAGAAAGGCTTCTGTTGATGTTTCAAATGAACCATATTCACAATAATCAAAATAATTCCAGAAAATGGGTTTGAAAATGAGGTATTTTGCAATTTGTTCGTACTTAATTGCCTCGCGCAACATATGCCCGGTGTTAATTGAGATTTCCGGATTTTCTGGTCCCTTCATCAACAGAGTTAATATTTGAGGTCTTTGCAGGAGATGATCGACTGTAGGCGACCGATTGACAATTTTGCGTCTCAAAAGTGATGTGAATAAGAAACTCACAATCTTGCGCGCATCAAACTCAATTAAGGGCAGATTTTGGATCAAAAGATATAAGCAATCCGTACTATAGATCTCATGTGCTAGCTGAGCAATTTGATCTGGCTGTGAGTCTGGTAAAACACCATTTGACTCGTCCCCTCTCCCAGTCAATATTCCCTTGATAGACATCAGGTATCTTGTTATTTCGTCCTGTGCTTTCTTCCCATCGCTTACCGTTTCCAATTTAGTGAGGTGGTCATTCATCGCCCTTACCAGTTCAACTGGGCTTTTGGGATTCCGTTTGAACAGAAAAGCCATGTCTCGATTTTTGTAACCTGTGGCGCTCACCTCAAATTGGATTTCAGCAATTGGGTACTATGAAGTAATAATTAAACTTGCAATACGCCCTAGAAGTCTTGTGAGTGACTGATTAGGAATTCGGAACAAAAGAGTTCTCAAACTGTTAATTATGAGTGTTCCTATGATAGCGCTTATAGCAATTTTTGAAATGAGCCAGTTAAGAACAATCAAATTGTTCGCCTGTCAAGAGCTTTTGAGCGATGATATCAATTCAAGGTGATTTAATATTAAATATGTGACAATTTTATTTTTGTCACAGTGACTTATTGACAGCGTCTGATTTGGCTAAACGCTCAAGAATTACATTACTAATAAATTACGTAATAAATTTACCAATATTTCTCGAACTACAGAACACAACTGGAAGATACGGTTACAGCGTTTTGTCCGTAATAATCAGAAGCTTTTGTCGGACTATAGAACGCAATTTTTAGCTTAAACAAAGACTCTCCACAATTTTGGGATGCGGCAACACAATAGCCTCATATAAAAAATGTGTGACTACCAACGACAGATACTTGTTCGAAATAGGAGTCTCTTCAGTCTGTAATGTCTTTATTCAAGAGTATGGGCAAAAGACTTAGCCAGAATTAGCTCATCAAAATAAAAGTGAGCAATAATTTTTAATCAGATGCCTTGAAGTTAAATCCAAAATACAGTTCTTTAGAAATCTCCAATCGTAATGAAACGAAATATTTCGAAAATAGGGGCATTGTTATTACCGACATGTTACTTACATTTTTGTGCAATGTATCAACTAATATATATCTAGAGTACGAACTGGATGATGCTGCTGCATCTGGATTTAACAGGTGACGCTTTTACAGTATCAGGAAACGTAATACATGATAACCATACATGGTCCCTCCTAGAGCTAAGTTTGAGCTAAAGATCAACATCAAAAAATAACCCTAGAATGCAGTACAAAAGAGATGGGTAAAAAGAAAAGATCTCTAAGATCTCGCTCATCAATTTCATTCCCTAAGTAACCTTATCCACCTCCTTCTTCTGATTTCTATATCTTGTCAAAAGCACCCAGCAGAGTTGAAACATTCGATATATTCATCGACCTATTCATTCACTTGAGGCCTTATCCATGACCCAGGTAGTAGAAAGGGTATATGCGAGAAATTCAACAGTCCAATGTCTTTGTTGAAAAGAGGCTCGAATGGGAATCAAACATTCACAGTGATTCTTTGTTGCCCGAATCTACCACCTTACCGAAAAGAGTAGTCATTGCAAGTTGTCAGTTGCATATTGAAGCACTGAGACATCATAGTTTCCATCGGATAAGTATGTGGGAGCTAAAATAGCCAAACTTTGTAGGCAAATTTTTTCTCATGAAGTGGGTAATTGACAAACACATTCTTTGATTCATAGAAAGTTGTTGTAATTGTAGCATAACTTGCTCTTCAGTGGACATGTTTCCTAATGATACTAAGTGAATTTATGCTAGCTGGTATACATGGTAGACTTCAGATCAAAAAATTGTTCGAATATCAAGGTGAGAACGTCCCAGTAGTCATAGCGAAGTCTGTAACACTTCTCACAGAACCATGAAACAATATACTCAAGCCTGCATTGTCATGCATATAATCACATGACATAGTCTCGACTAACATCTCGAAATAATCTATCGGAGTGCTTCCTTTAAAATTCTGATTATTGAAAGGTTGGTTGTCCCACAGAATGTTCATCTTTTTCTGGGTGGCTTCAATATGAATTTTTTTCTCGGGCAGATATATATTTGTTTACTCAGTATCTGATGCTTTTATTTTTGGTGATACAAAGGGATTGGAAGGATAGAGAGCTTGAAATATTGGAAAGCTTCTTGGGTGTTTAACTAGGGCAGAAATTCAAGGTATACATATATATATCTGTTGCATCGACTATGGCTGCAGTCGGTTTTCAATCCTACTCTATGAGTAGATTAGTCTGTGAGACATGAAAAGGACAGCAAATTTTGAAGCTTCACTGAATGGTAAGCAGCAATAAAGAATCTGGATTTTTGCTTTTTCAAGAAGGGATAGGCACCTTTTTTATGACTATTGCAGGTAAAGTTGTTCAATATGCAAGCCGGGAGTAACCCTCAGGGGCGTTCAAGTAACTTTTTGACTTCTATATAAACCACCTAACTAATTGAGTCCGCTCTTGAAAATTTGGGGCTATGTGGGGAGTATTGATAGAGATTCCTAAATTCATACAGAAGTACCTCTACGTATATGTATTCTTACGATAAAACACGGGACTAAAGTTCACAAGTAATCCTGAGCTGTTCCTGCTCACCTCTTCGCAAACAATATTCATTATTGCAAAGTAGTATTACTAATGACGCTTTTCAGCAATACATCTTTACTCTTAAACTTATAATCTAACTCTGCCTCTTCCCCCAACCTGATCGATCTAATTGAAGGCATGGCTAAAAACAGCTTCGAGCATGGATCTATGATTTAATTAATGCAAGCAAAAGAGTATGGTAGTAGACCTGCAATGTATCTCTGTATTATTCAAAAAGGCTTCAACTCAGAATACAAAATAGCAAACTCTACCTCTATTCTAGCCCTTGAAACGGACAGTTATTCATTTATCCATATTATGATACACAGCGTCCCTGCCTTTAAATTGTGGATAGAAGGACTACAATGAGTCATCAAAAGGTTTATTAGTGTTCAGCATAGTTGTGCGTAGACGACAGATAAATTCTTAGAGTTGACAGCACCCTGCCATGGATCATGATTTTATACTGCTTAATGAGAAGCATCCTTTGTCTCCCTTCATTCATGAAGGATATTGACGATATTGACTAATTCAGATTTCCTTTGTCATTTTTTAGAAGGTTTTGCGATATATTCAGGTTATTGAAAATGCCATGTGATCCATTTACGGAGACCTCTATTTCTGCCCACTTATCGCTGAGTCTGGGAGCATTCAATGAAACGTTTTAAAAAATTTACTTGATATCTTGTAAAATATACATTTACTGTTCAAGCTCTGTACCAAACTGATGATTCCATATTAAAAAGCTTAAATTATGTTCACTTTTTAAGTTTGTTTCACCTTCATTTGATAGCGATTCATGATATCTAGGGCTTCATATCACAGAACGTTGACATTTTACATGGCCATAATGATGACAATGTATGTTCATTATCTGCCAATACTTACAATAGCCTCCATCTGTTTCAGGAAACAGCAGTTTTCCTTGGAAGTATTTTAATCAATCGTTGAGCTGTAGGGGACTATAAGACTGTCTCAGACAATAACGCCAGCTTCATTTGCTCGCTAGGGAATCTGATGCGCCTACATCTTTTATTGCTACTATGTGTAAGTCATTCGGGCTGCTTCTCAAATTTTGAGGAACGCATAATTTTTTGTTGAAAGCATATGATTACACGGTGAACGTAAATTGCCGTTTTTATTTCCTTAGCCATGTCATTAGCCAGTAGCGTTCAAAACTCGCCTATTCATTCTTACTGATATATAATTTTAGTAATTTTTACAAAATTGAGGCTGCCGTATATGTTATGCTTATGTATTGAAGTTCATCCTGTACGACGAATAGGGTAGGCAAAATAACAAGCAAAATAACAAGGATACAAAACGGGTATAGTCAATAGACCAAAGAGATTAGATTTTAATAATAATCACCATATAACTTGGTCCTTTAGAATTTACAGTAACCATCCTCAACTTTTAGTTCACTAATACAGACGAGTGGAGTATATGGATGGCGACCTATTTCACATTCGATCAAATCAAAGGCTCTAGTCTACGCCTGATTATGCAGATTGTGTGAAACACTGAGCTTTAATCGCAATACTCTAATGATGATGCCCAACAGATGCGACTCAAATATCATGCATCGTTAAGGCAGAACCGTAGTAAAAAATCTAATCTAATCAACCTTTTAAGGGTTTATGCTTTAGTTATTTGACTACGAGACCAGTTACAATAACTTTCTGATTTCACATTGATTTTTGATAAGTTATACTCTCCAATGGACTTCTGTACGAAACTTTATGATAAGTGTCTCACTGTTTAGTTTTCCCTTTTTTCAGGTCATTCACAAAGCGTTTTTACACGTTAGTATAGCTGGAGCTATATAGTTTAAGAACCACATTTAGATACGAAACGCCTTGTTGCAGTACATACAAATTGATACTCGGTGTCGTTACTAAATCAGGTTTTGTGATCAAGACTACTATGATACTGAAACTTTTCATCTGTCGCGAGTAGTAGTTGCAATTATCCTTTCCATAACCAAATTCTGAGTAGCTAGACACAATTTGAAATTCTGTATTCTTATTTTTGCGAACGGCTCCACTCTTGCAGCGCTTCACTAATAAATAAGTCACAATGCTTCAGAGTGCGTTTTTCGTCCACCAGAAGCTTCGAATATCCAAATTTTCTTTTACTATCTGTCTAAACATTATGCAAGGACTGTGCTTAATCTTCTTCCAGTAACGCCAGGTGCTTGACTACTTGAAATAATTTGCTTTGTGAGATATACGTTTTAGTTTTGAACGTATTCCATGCCCCTATAAATACATATGTAGTGTTGAGATGTTAGTCGAAACTAAATCATGTGATTATATGCAAGATAGTGCAGATGATACATGTATACATGCAGACTTGAATATCTTGTTTCAGGGGTTTGTGAGAAGTGTTACAGACTTCACTATAACTACTGGGACATTCTCGCCTTGATTTTTGAACAATTATCTGATCAGAAGTCTAATATGTATACCAGCTAGCATACATGTGACTATATCATTAAGAAACTCGTCCGCTGAAAAGCACGCTATGCTACCTCTACGACAGAGTAAATGCTATGATGAGATGACAAATAAATATACCACAAATTTAGTAAGTCTCCAATATCTAGAAACTGAAATAGTCTAGTTTGAATGATCTTTTATCTGCGGTAATCGAGCTGACAAGAATTCAGGTAGCCTTCCAATCTTCAACCAAATCCTCAGCCAATCCTAGGCCAGAAGGGCTCAAGGGCTTGACTCAATGAAAAACTTGTTGGAATGCTAACTTTAACTGATCTGAAGTTGTCATCTTTTGGATAATTTAATATACCTTTTACTACCTTATATCAGTAGTTGTATAAGCTTATATTTATAAGATTTATATGTAAATCTTACCAATTGAATGTTCACTTAAGATGAGGGAGAATCTAACTGTATTTATAGTAGATTCTAATACCACTC